ATATGAATCTGGATGATGATGAAACCAATAAACAAATCGTGTAATTAGCTGCAATACCTACTACAAAGTTGATATTCCTTATTTACATAATGGAAAACCTGGACCTTCCAGCTCAATTAACATTTTTTGCCTAGGTATTTAAGACTATAAAATACCTAATTGACATGTAGTCTATACTTATATGTATTATAAAGAGGTAAAATTTGTAAGTTTGTATGTAGGGGGTAATCATTGGAACCACTGGTCGGATTCCCAAAATTCTTTCACTTATTGATAGCTATAATGTTCCTGAGTGCTATAGGCTATAATACAACACGCTACGATCAAATGGAGGCAAGCAGCGGGTGAAACCGCGTGAGAGTAGCTAGTATTCTATAATCTCAGGTACACACTAGGTACGCGATCGGACCACCACAGATAAGGCCCTCTAGGGCCGATATCCAGCCGGGTTTGTAAGCAAAATAATGGAGCGCGGTTCCGGCCCGGATCAAAAGAAGGAACGAGGGCATTTTTAATTCCTTTTATTTGCATGTTGGGGGAAATCAGATAGTATTTTGTAGGTTTTGAAAATACTCCATGTTTGCCAGACCACCACCATGGGAAGGTGAAGGCGAGAGTAGTAGTAGGAGTAGCAAGAGTGTGACGCTCCCTTTCGCTCCACCCAGAGCGGAAAGAGCCATAGACTTATTCTCTTCCCTCAAAAAAAAAAACAATCAAATAATGACGCCTAGACACAGAACGTTCTAAAAACCAAAGACATTGATTCAATATCAATACCATAGAGCTCCGACCAGTAGATTAGTGACCTATATTAAGCATAGCTAATCTAGAAAAAACATGGGAAACGCATTACAACTAAGTATAATGTCAATAAGATCGGCCTTTGCTGCTGACGTCACAACGACGTGGTGCTAAGAATCAGATGAGGTCGGACAAGACCGCATACTTGTAATCTTATTGTATTGAATTATGAACCTTATTTACATGTATATTAAATACATCAAAAAACTACATAAACTTAGTCTTTTATAAGGTTGATATTAATAATAAATTTCACGTCAAATCTGTTATACTAGTTTATACAATTATTTTTATTAGTGACGTGATTAAAAAAAAACGTCAAAAATCATTTATTTCAATTAGACCACAGTAGGCACTTTTGAACGTCAAGCAAGCAAAAAAGGAAAAAAGTATATAACAAGAGCTTTAAAATTAAGCGTGTCAGTCTGTCTGATATTCCTAGTTAGTAAGTTACTTTAGGCGATTTTAATCAGATATCAGTACGCATTGCCAAACTGCGTGTTACCTATTTAATTTATTATTTGCTCATAAGTTCACGATAAGCGTAGGTTCCTGTGATAGTTATCATGATTGCGACGACTAATACCTAATACCTAATAAAGATAATTGTGGTCACCGTGACTAACTATCGACGTAATCGATTTTCAAAAAATAATTCAAAGCAAACATTTTACTTGGGTATAGAGCAATCGCATATTTCGGCTACTTGGAATTTTAGTAGGTATTTCTTGTTATAGGGGCGACAAAAATCGTTGGTCTAAACTTCAACTAACTATCACGGTTCATGAGATAACGAGAGCGTGGTGGCAGACAGACAAACAGAAGGGCGGGCGAAAAACAGAGTCTTAGTAATAAGGTTTCTGTATTTCTTTAAAAGAAAGTTTTTCCTTGATTTTCAATTTAATGGTTCGACGCTCGAGTTTAGGAATGTTTCGAAATACCTAAGCTTGTTAAACAATTAGTGTAGGTATTACAAATTGTGGGAATTACATTATACCTAATTACCTAGTTACCTGTATTCGTGTTCAGACGAAAAACAACACACCTAGACTTACTTACCTAACTAAGGAAATATAACACATTGAAATAATCCAATACAATCTATTAAGTAACATTAAGGCAGTTTCACAGTGTGTTAAGTTTTTGAAAAATGTTACTTCTCAATAGGGTTTTCTCCTGTTTCGTGGGTGCGTTTGCAAATACACAATTTCACATACTTACACATAGTTTCACTGTGTGTGATACTAAACAAAGTGTTACCATTTTGATTTTGTATAATTTGACTTGTGAAATGTATCAAAATGTGTCAATTAGGCTAACAACAACTTAATCAGAAATCCTAAAGCAGACCCTAAGAATAATAAGAAAAACAACAGAACCAGTGTAACTTTTTAATTGTTTGAAATCACCAAGTAAAGCCAATACAGATTATACATACTAATAGAAAATTAGCCATTTCTGCACTTTAGAAATATTTTAAATTAAATTATAGTGCAATCACTTCAATGGGCACATCCTCAAGACAATGTGGAGACACACATGTGGAGGTCATATCAATATCAGAGTGCTAAATTGCACACATTGGCAACAAGCATAGACCAAAGGATTTCGGGATAAATACTCTTTTGCTGTCTCTATTTTTATTTATGGTTAATTTAATATGGAGGATGGTGTTACCAAGAGAAACTGGTATTGATTTTATTTGTAGCAATTACTACCTTAATTTTGTTTTTAATGTAAAGATTTAATAATATGTTTTTTTGTATGATTTATTGATATGACAGAATAAATAAGATTCTGATAAGAATCTGATTAAAATGCCAATTACATTTTTCCCTACCTGTTTGAAATTAAATAAAAATGAGCAGCAGATTATTAAATGTTTAATATTATATACATATAAATATTATTAATATTAACATTAAGAGTAGATATTTAAGTATGTTCACAGTTACCTACATACTTAATATTTAATAGATTTTTATTTTGAAATAAAAACCCAATATTTTTATTTCATTTAAGTGTTAAATAAAATGTATGTATGCAATACAGAAATTATAGCAGTAGCATAACAGGCATAATATTTTTTAATAAGTTAATCGTTATTTGTAACGCTAAAACTGCATAACTAATAAAAAGTTTTATCAAGGAATGCCATATCAAAGCATATTATGTATGGTACATAATAATGCATATTAAATATCAGAATGTGAGCCTGAACTACATAAACTACAGATAAAAAATATTATTATTATCTGTGCTAATTTATAATTAATATTAGGTACAAACTTCAACACTTGGTTTGGTTGAATGCACTAATCTCCGGAATGACTGGTCCTAACAAATAAAATATTTTAATGTTTGATAGTTCATTCATTAGTGGTTCATTTATCAGGAATGTTTGAGGATATATAATTTTTAACTAGGGTCAAGATTAGAGATAAGATTAACTGGTATAACAATAAAGATTTACTGGATTTTGTTAAGGATGTAAGTCTAAAATGGGAAAGATTTTTTAATTTACAAAAGTTTCTAATTCATTATTGGCAGATCAGATATGAAATGCCTAGAGGCTCTGCCTAATGGCTTAAAAAATAAAAAAAGTTACATATCAGACTATTTACTTCAACCAACTGTGTACTTGTTGTGAATTTGGGATATTCAGTAGAAAAAAAGACTGTCAAATATCTAAAATGTTCATGTCAATATGAACTTAGTAACAAAAAAACTTGGAAGTCAGTAAATCACATTAATGTTTATGCCTATTGCAAGGTTTATTGATATTAAAAAAACGCGTAAAACTTTCCATGCCTCACACACTGACCGTATTTATAGAGTTCTAATGTTACAAATCATTCGTTTCTTAGTAAGGACAATGTTTTTAACAAAAACAATGTATCTCAGTAAGATCTTTTAGGAAAACAGGTTTGTTTAAATAGACAAATGCTAATAAGCACGTTTTTAACAACAACAGACCTTATAAAAAATTATCAAAACATGCCCCTTACCTTGTTTTCAGTAAATTCAAAATTCCCAAACAGGTTGCGCCAAAAAATCAAAACGATACACACAAAAAACAAGTCTTTGGCGAAAAAACACTGACCACACGGTACAGACCGATTTCAACGTCGGCTTTAGCTAACACACGTTTCAACAATTATTATGACACGGTTATAAAATTACTTATTACACAATGTGATAACAATTAACGGGTGAAAGTGCGAAAATTAGAAATATTGTCAATGCGGAAAACAGACACTGAGCAGTCACCGACTACCGCAAACCGCAATATCAAACTGACATTTACTTAGAAAAAACCAAACGGTGTTGCACGCTCTCGAAAACAATTTCCCTTGGAAGGGAATTTTAATCAGAACAAATCATATGATTTCATTTTATAAAAAAAATGTACATGTCATACTGATTTCAAACTAATTAGGCTTAGTGCTTCACTATCTAATAATTTTATTATAGAAATAAAATTATTAGACGTGATAATTGTAAATTTTATTGATGTAGTTAAAAGTAAACAAATATTTTTTTTACATGGTTCACACAATATTATTTTTATCCGTCTCTTGGGGAAAATAATAAAGTCTGGCAGTACAACGCGGTACGTTCCATTTCACACAAAATATTCTATGACAACAATATACTTTAAGTCTCACTTATATGTATAGAATCCAAGTATTATACTTAAGTCCAACTATTATATTTTTATAACAAAACTAGGAATTTTTACAAATTTTTAAGGAATTGTGGGATATTTTAAGTGCTATTATTGTTTACAGTGACATCTGTTGCATGATACTTGAAACTAGTCAACAGATAAGATAGAAAATTGTGAACTAATAAAGAGGTCCAGTTTGCCAGTTTTCGCCACATTGGAAGTGTTTTTATTGTTCTGATCATAGAGGACTTGTTCCTGTAAAACATTGTTTTTGTCTAATTTATTATTAAATGCTTTAAGTTTAAAGATTCGTTGTTGTTAGATTTTATAATAACACCTAATTTTGTCAAGGTTCTGGATGACTTTTGGACCATAATCGTTGATAATAATATGACTATTTTATGAATTGGCAAGGCTGAGATAATTTTTTAACAAATCTTAGCTGCAATTGTATAAAATTGGACCAAATCGCCAGTGTTTTATGTAAACCCACGATCAACCTGTAGGGTAGAATGACGCTCGCAATTAATTAGAATTTATGATAACTTTTTCCCCATTTATAGTTTAGAGCAGTAATATTGTCACCCCTGGGGTTAATGTCAACGACAATATGCGTGCAAAGAGGTCGGAAATATGTGGAGACGACGTAATATTCCAGGTTTGTGAGACCGTCTTCTTTGTACCTCTCCACAGCTCTGCTAAGAAGATGGAACCTGGAAAGATAAATGGAGTATCAGGATGTTTAATAACAGTGAAGAACAGAACACCTAAGTATATCGAACGCCGCAATCCATGTGCTGGCGGTATCCTTGAATTTATGATTTTCCTGAAGCGGATTAGACCTGGTGATGGTACCTAAGCAATTAAAGCCGCCTATAGACACCAGCAGCAAATGAAGGTTTACGAGTACGTTGCCGTCCTTTTGGAGATTTAGGGATTGGGGAGGGATCGCTTCCGGGCTTGCTTTCACTTGCGTCTTGGGGGCAAACGCGCCCCGTGCAGACCTTTCTGAACTAGGCAAACCCCAGGTTTGCCACATCTAAGAATAACACAGCTTTGCATTTTTAACCACCCAAGCACTTCCCGTGGGTATAGTTACAGGTCGCTTCTTGCATTGCTTCCTCTTATGGAAAGGACATATTCTGATGTTGCCGCACATGGGAGGGTCATTTTTTGCCACGAACCCAAGTGCGGACAAATAAAACTGGGTTCATGATGTACGCACAAAAAATTTACTAGTATCAAAAAATGATATAGTCTCCGCGCTTGCTCAAGGCGTATCAATAATGCCTACTACTTTTCCTGCCTGCCAAACCAAAAAATAAATAATAACAAACTCATTTGTGCTCAATACACGTAGATACATAATTACTACCATAATGTAATTGTTAGCACATAACTTATATGTATGCCTACTTGTATTAATATTTGACACTATCGAATGCCTCATCCAGTTAATTAACTGCATTAATTACATTCAGAGAGGAATATCACACGTGTTCTGCGGTATTAACACCTACCAGATACATATAGGTAATTAGGTACTAATCAATTACGCCACCCAATATTAAATTAAGTACTAACAGGCAAACACGCTCACCTACATATGTACGTGTCATGGAAGAAGCGACTTTTTTTGTGTTTAAAAAACGTTGCCCCATACTAGGATTTTCTCTTGTGTAGTAGGTGAGTTTAAAAATAAGTATACAATTTGACATACACATCACACCCAGACTCGGAAAAACGATTTGTGGATCACGCAAAGATTTGTGCAGGACTTGAATCCGCGACACATTGCGCGGCAGCCAGTTGCCCAGCCAACGCGCCATTCGTGCAGTCAAAGTACCTATAGGCTTCATATATTTGATGGCACACGATAATAATCGTATGACATAGCCCTAATAAATGTATGAAATTAAAATGCTATTATGGCCTATCAATTTACATGATCATCTAAAGGTCTAAAATCTTAGTAAGTACTTTTATATCTTTTTATATTAAGGAGGTCGTAAAAAATACACCTACAAAGATTAATTAAATTTAGTCTATTAGCTGACGTCGATTTAGGTAAATAATACCGGGTTGCAAACAATTTTGCATACCTCCAATTTTTTAAAACTTTTATTTAAAAGACAGGCCAAGATTGTTTTCATTAAGTTAACTACCCGATAGGCCATGATACGTAGGTGACAATGTTTTCGCCTACCCAAGTACTTAAAAAAGCTAAACATTGCCAAAGGTAATCCATTTGATTTCACTAGTAATGTGACGACTCTTAGACCTACCGTTCAGTCTTAGGAAGTTACCTGAAAGGATTGGCTGGTTCTCGTTTGTGTGGTAACACGAGGTACATTCCAACAGACTTTTGATATCTCACCACTGGGTATCCAGCTGCATGGAGCCTGGAATTAGACGTGAATCATAAATATTTGATTAGACATCATTCGATGCGAATCCCAAAGCGACGAGTATTAGGTATACGACACAAAATATTTCGTGCACTATAACTCCACTCAAAAGATGTACATAGGTACCTTAAAATTGTGACATTAATTTATTAAATGGACGATTTTCTAACAAAAAATTAAGTATACAAACAATTAATCCACCCAGATCCCTTTGTTCCAGGATATAAGCAAATTGGAACAGGTTATCGACCGAGGTCTACTAGGGATGTAAAACACCATCAGTCTGGAGCGTGTTTGACTAGACTAGAAGTATGAAACGTGCTTTTCGTGACAGCCCGTACCACAGCCTCACAAAAGGTCCGGTGCCGGACCGGAGTGATGGCCTTGGGTGATCACTTAACCTTTCAATCAGGGTATTTCGAGACACACTGGAAGAACCATACGCCCGCGAACGCCGGCGTCCGCTTGTGGTTTGATGAATTAATGCAGTGATCTTTCTGTTCGCTTCGTCAATTTATTAAGAATAATTACATCGTCATCATTTTTTTACTTATTTGACGAAATCGCGATCGTCAATATTATATCTACTAGGTTATAATACAGTCACATATATCATTGTTCATCATCAGCGTCGCAATTACCTACTTCTGGTTTGCCATCTTACCTCCAGAACATGTCGTTATCCTCTGCTCCCCATCCAAAGTATAAGTTGGAGAAACCATTGGCTCTCACAAACTGGTCTATAGTCATTGAGACCACACCACCGAATAAAGATTTGTAAGAATATGTTACACTGGAAATGTAAGGAAATAAAATTCCATAAGATATTATGCCTTTTTATACGTTCGATCGTAATTCGCTTATAACATTTATACGCAAGCCTCAATCTAAAATAAACTTAGCAATAACAACGTTGCCGTCGGAACGAAATAAGCAAATTATAATTTAATTTAAAATCTCTGGATTGATTTCTGATTTTGAAAGAAATCATATCTGCAACGTATGTTTTTTTTTTGTTAGGGGAAAATCATCAAATAACTTCTCCCGCCCATGGTGAAGTGAGGGGGAGTGTCTGACTCTTATTGACTAAAAACCTCCCCTACAGGCCGAGGCCGCAGTACCTAATTACGCTAACCCCGCAACCCTGGCCTACGTTTGCTATAAGTCTCTTATCTTAAATCATAATGGGGCATTGAGAAACAGGCACTTAAGTCCTAAAAACTTACTTATAGTCTCTTCGAATATCAGTGTCGTTAACGTAGGCACACATATGTCTAGGCAAAGTCGGGCAATTGTACATTATATTATCGTCAAGAGGCAGCAAGTCCAAGTCGTGGAAAATGATGCAAAAGAACTTGTTAAACTTTATCATTTCCTTATATCCAGCATTGTACAAACGACCTTTGTTAAATGGTCCATTACCTGCAAAGAGTAATAGATTTATCTAATTAAATATTCAGACTATCTACATAGACCAGAATCTGTGTATGTGAAGCTGGCCTGGAGGTAAAGGCGCCCTCACTCCTCATGCATAAGGAGAACTGACAAGAACTGAAAAAGAAGTGTGGGAGAGCCATGCATCAGCACGAAAAGTTCGGTTCGACCAGAGTGATGCAACGGTCTCACTGAAAACCGGCGTGAAACAAACACAGGGTTGTGTTTCACCGTGTGACTGTTTAGCGGAGGCTGATCAAAAAAAAATCAAAACCCTAATTCTCAAAATGTTGGCAACGCACTTGAAACTCCTCCGTTGTTGCGTTAGTCCATGGTCAGCGCTGATTGCTTACCATCAGGCTAATTGCTTACTGTTCTTTCACATAAAAATAAAAATTCCCACTGCTCATGCCCGAGGTTACTGACAAGAATTAGTATAACTTTTCTAAGTTATTTGTACTTTCGAAGTGTATTTAGATACCATTGACAAGCCATGAAGGAAAACATCGTGAGAAAACCTAGACTTTTAATTCCTGATTATAAGTTTCAAATCGCCAACTCGCCTTGAGCATGCGTCAGAATCAACGCTCAAAGCTTCTCATCTCAAGAAGAGGCCTTTGCTCAGCAGTGGACACTTATTAGCTGCTGATGAGATCGGAACCTCGGATGCTCTCAGATGCTCCCCAATGATCAGATCTACTGGCAATTATACTCCTTCGTGACTCGGAGTGTTTTTGAGAATGCTTTAATCCTCAAAAAAGCCCGGCAGTAAAACAAGCCCCCATATTTTTGGTGGCGTCCTGTCATAAGTCTTTCGAAAAGCAAAATATATTTATTTTATCTATTTTAAATTTATTATTTATTATCTATTTAACAGTGTGTAACTCACCGTGCTGCTCAATGACAAATATTTGGTAATCAAGTTTTTGTCGTATCAAAAACGGATGGATGTTGTTTAAGAAAATACCCAGGTTTTCTTCTCGATTCCTGAAAATTAATACAATAATGTATGTGACTTTAATATACTATATTTTTCTATAACCTTTATAGTCTTAGGTTTTTACCTAACACTATAAAGCCCACCATCTGATGGTTACAATATGGCCAACGATAGATCACAATATGCAGCTTATTATTAAGCAAAGTATTCATTCGGGACTTGAGGACTCCCCAATACGGTAGTTTCCAACTAGACAAATTCAATACTTTAATCCAAACGTCAAAAACGATACGTATGAAATTTGTATGAAAAACTGAGTTGACGTCATAACATTTTTGCGTCAAATAGCTTACTTATTTCAACTTATAGTAGTAACAACTAGTTAAGGGGAATAGCGGGAATTAACAACCCTTTCGACGCCGTGGCCGTTCGTTTGCAAAACAAATGACTGACACCGGGGTAGTCGGATACCCGTGCGGAGCAGGGGCGGTCTGCTAGTTAGAAATAAGAATTAGTATAAGGTTATTTAGGTAGTAGCCATACCTGTAAGGTACGATGATTCCAACCCTGAATCTATTTCTGCAATCCGGTGGATGATAGGAACCTCCTTTTAAGACATTGGGGTAACTATTTTCTTGAGATATATTCACACTTGTCAAATTCAAGGGAAATTTTGCTAGAACACATAAAAATATAATTATAATTGAATAGGAGAACTATTTTTTATTTAGTAATAAGATCAAAATATATCATTACAATTTTTTAAAACAGCCTTATTACCGTGAAAATCGCATCAATGCATTAGTATATACCAACTCTTTTTCGAGTTTTAACGGGACTAATAGCAATTATTCATTACATATATATATTGAAAATAACGACTAACTCACGTGAATTAACTAAGAATAAGAGACCCACTGAGACTTGAAACTAATAGAACTTTTCTCATCTAATTCAGCAAGTCGTTATTTTCAAAAAAAAAATGAATTGCTGTTCGTTAGTTTGGCTAAAACTCAAGAACGGCTGGTCCGTTTTGGATAATTTTGGTCTTAAAATATTGGTTGAAGTCAATGAAAGGCGTTTGAGGCGGTTTTTAGTTCGCTGGGTCAGCTGGTTTTCAATAAATCATTATATTTCAAAGGAATATGTAGAAGTGTACTCAACTTACTCACTGATTCAATGTGGCGTCTTTTGCGGATACAAAATGGTAGGTCATCGTACTTCGTCTTTGTCGATTGAGGCTCTGTAACATATAATTATTTCGTTCGCGTGGAATAGTAACTTCCTGCAGATTGTTGGTTAAAAACTATGCTATGTCCTGTCTTGAGTTCCAAACTATGTCTATACCAAATTTCAAACAAATCGGTTCAGTAGTTTAGGCGTGCAGAAAAGACAGACAGAGTTACTTCACATTTATAATATTAGTTTGGATTAGTTCTTTCAAACAAAGGGGTCTTTTAAAATTCATATTAACACATCACACTCAATCTAGGTACGTAGAAAAAGAAAAAACTATTTAAATGCACTATTTACGATTTGCCTTGGGCAATCTGTGAAATTGATTGAAAAAGAGAGTAGCCATATAGTTTCTAGCTGCTTCTTCTTCATCGGAATCTACACTTTGGAACGAGCAAATAGCTACACTTAAAAGACTGGCTGACAGACTGACATTGTTTTTTTTAAAATCATTGTTTGGTGTTCAGAAGTCCTTATGTTCCATTGAGATAGAAAATATATAGAGGCGCCGTGTTATTATAGAAGTATACATGCTTATACAAATATGAGTGAAATATGAAACAAACTATGAAATATAGTTTTTTCTCACTCTTTCTTAGGCAATAATTGTATTAGACAAAAGGGACAACAATATTTAAGTTGTTGCTTATTATGGCAACAAATCATTTTGACATTAGCAAAGTTGTAGGTAAGTGCCATGTCCGCCATCTTAAGCGCTCAGAGTACCTGAGTTTCATGGTAGTTGTGCTGTCAAACGGTTGTTTATGTTTTAAATTATTGCGGTTTTCCAGTAAATTACAAAGAACCATTTTTTTAAACTTCTAATATATATAGTGAAACAAAAATACAATATGCCTGTGTATTGTATTGTGCAGTGTGGTGCAAAAAAGAACGAAAATCAACCTCAATTGTCTTTGTATAGGTTAGTAAACAGTTTTCATCAAATATTACTTAGAATAATCCACATAGATAGAAAAAAATGTTACGGATACTTGAATCTATTGCCAAAGTATATATATCTACTTCTATTTCTGTCTGTGAGAGAGTTTTAGTAAAAAATTGTTGTTTACAATAATATGTTAAAATGGCATAGTTACGTACCATTCCACAAAAGTATCGATATAATCTCCCATTTAAAATTCATGATATATTATCCTAAATAATCTATTTTAGCAATGGATGTTTCCTCAGTTTTGTGTAAGGCTAAAGTAAGACGTCAATATTTTGGTATTGGTTTTAGTTACAAAATAGAAGTTCAAATTATCATGTTTTATAATTATCCGGGCGCGATTGACAGAGCGGCGTTGGCGGCGATCCCAGTGGGACCACCAAGCTAAATAAGTGAGATACATACAGTAAGATTGACTTCACTACTTATCTTTTTTGTGCTAACGTAGTTACGAAGATATCATCGCTTAATCAGACGCACCGAAATTGTGCGCGAGCACTTCACAAATTCCCACAGGTTTTCCACATATATAAAGATAAACATTTATCAAACACTATCTTTTTCTATTTCACCATTCCATTAAACGCTGTTCATAAACACAGTCCTATTTTTTTTAAAGACGCTTTACGTAGAATTATATGAATACAAATTCGACTTGAGAAAATCATTAGCCAATCAAGAGACCAAGGTAACCCCGGGTTCCGGGCTCTAGCTAGGCCGACGGTAAAGTAGGAACAGGAGTTGATTTTAGTCAGTAACGGTCTGTCACGAAAAGGGCCGGAGATGACATTAGATGATTTCCCATAAAAAATACCGTTAATCAGCTGGCTAATCCCTAAAACTATACCTACGTAGAACTTATACTCAAATTGTATCGATACTCGTTAAATACTTAGTCGGCACAACCCTAGCAACGGCAGCCATCTTATGCGACATTTTGGATTGTAGGTATGCACCTTTTCTTCGTAGGTATTTCAAGTCCATATATTTCCTATGTCAATGTTATGTTCTGATTGAAATAAATGATTATGACTTTGAATTTTTGAATTGAAAATTCACTGCGGTCTTTCTACTTACTTGTAGATTCAGTAGTAATGTTGACATTATAAGAAAGTGCATCAGTTGAGGTTGTTTGTAGATTCTCGTGGTCTGTAATAAACATTATTGAATTAAATAAACAAATATAACAATATAAAACCCATACCCCCTTCTTGTGATGTAATATTTTTAGTCTTGTTTCAAACCAGTGTGTTGGATTTTGTATTTTGAATTTTATTTTCACCTGCCTTCAATTTGAAATACGAAAATTGGCTTAATGGTTAAGACCTAGACTAAAGAAAAATCTTGTTTTGTAATAAGAACGTATATGTCATTTGAGAGAGTTCTGTGCACCTCAAAGAGCCAATAGACCACCACTGACGGGGCCCTATAGGGCTGATGTTCAACCGGGGTTCATAATTTTTTTTTTTATGTAAACGATCGGCAAACGAGCTGACGGATTACCTGATAGTAAGCAATCAGCGCCGCCCATGGACACTCGCAATGGAGTAGTTACGAGTGCGTTGCCAACCTTTTAGGGATTTGGAGATTTAGGGATTGAGGAGGGATTGGGGGAGGGGAACGATTGGGCCTCCGGTAACCTCACGCACACGGCGAAACACAACGCTGTGGTATAACTCCGGTCATCATCATAATCAGCCTATAAGTGCCCACTGCTGAGCAAAGGCCTCTTCTCATACGGAGAAGGTATTAATTACCACGTTTGCTCAATGCGGGCTTGTGGCGATTTCAAACTTATCATTAGAAATTATAAGTCCAGGTTTTCTTACGATGTTTACCTTCATCGTATGTCAGTGGTGTCTAAATAATCATAGAAAGTACATATTACTCGGAAAAAGTCACATTGGTGCTCGCCAGGTTTCGAACTCATACCCTCATGCATGAGAAGCGGGCTGCTTAACCTCCGGGCCACCACGAAACCGGGGTTGCGTTAAGAAAAGAATCATGGCGTTTTTGCGTTTGTCGAAATTTTGATTACCTAATGAAATCGATTAGGTACTCATTTGGTTTTTGTAAAAAATTATACGTTACCGTAAGTTTACTTTGACCCTAGGAAGTAACTCTGATGCAACTTAACTAATGAAGAACTAAAGGATATACGTTTGGTTCTGGGTTATAAACGTAATTTGGCTTAACCAACAATTTGTATTGTTTTTGGATCGAAGGTACGGTATAGTTAACACTCAGGACCTACGGTGAAAGTAGCCCGGACTTACTCGGTATTTTATTTTATAAGAAGCCAGTCAACCTTGGCTCTTAAACACTTACAGTTGTCACTGGGCAGTTTCTCAGTGTTCTCATGGTGCGTATTGTCGAGTATTTGTTTAGTAATAGTGAAGTACACCAGAGCACCTGACAGGCAGACAAGTACAACCCAGGGTTTCCACCTCCAGCGGCGCCTCCGTTTCTCTTTCACAGACTCCAAACATTCTTGAAGAGATGAATGACGCTCCCGTTCTTTAATATTAAAATATACATTTACTGACTAACTTACTACCAGGCTTCGCACGGCACTTTAATTTCTCCACTTTTTAATGGATGTTATTACATATATGTATACACATAAATTTCCCTATCAATCACTCTTTCTATTAAAAAAAAATGCATTAAAATCTGTTGCGTTGTTTTGAAGATTTAAGTGTACATGGATACAGGGATAGTGAAAGCGACTTTGTTTTATACTATGTAGAATCGTAGGCTGCCGCGTTGGTCGGATAATAGGGTAGTTGTAGTAGCAAGTGCAATTATTGGCATAGCTAAGGTTCTTACAATTATTATTTGGATTTTTTTCAAATGGAAAACGGAGTCCAGTGTAAATAAGTTGTCTCCATATTGCACACGGGACTTACATACTACATGAGTAGTAGGAAAGAAAGAAAGAAAATACATTGATTCGGCACCAGTCACTATGTACCAAAGTGGAAGTAACTGACTGCACGGTTGGTGCGGTGGCTGGGCAACTGGCTGCCGTGCAACGTGTCGCGGGTTCGATTCCCGCACGGAACAACTCTTTGTGTGACCCACAAATTGTTGTTCCGGGTCTGGGTGTCATGTGCATTGTGAAATTATATGTTTGTAACCGCACCCACGACACAGGAGAAAATCCTAATGTAAGGCAACGTTTTTTTTTAAAAAAAAAATACTAATATTTTTGCCTTGGTGCTGATTGCTTACCATCAGGTAATGATGAGTATGATCCCTTGGTGTTTAATCACTTAAAAAAAATATGCACAATTTGCAGAGGACGTGCAACTAAGTATGCAAGTACTTACTGATAAATTTTCGTAGGTAACCATAATAATAAGGATTCTGGATGGGACAGAGGGGTATATTAAAAAGACTTACTGGGACATCGTTGTGTAGAGACGGCTTTAATAATCTTCCTTACAGGCACATAAGTGTTCATATTAACTGTTCTATGTACACTGGTAAACAGACAGACAGTAATAAACTATAGTCCGTAAAAATTTAAATTTCTAAATGCAGGTGGATGTTTACAAATACCTAGTTTGGGTATTATTGACAAACAGTTCTGTTTAGACTAGTTCTTTCCCGGAACGTCGCTTGCATTAATTAGGCATTCTTTTCCATGGCATTATTTTTCGTTAGGTTTCAAATCAACACTTAATGACTTCTCCCGCCCACGGCGAGGCGAGAGGGAGTGTCAGAATCTTACCGACTAACCCCCCCCCCTCCATTCCTTTTGCTGTTCTAGGCCGAGGCCGCGGTGCCTTACTGTACTTGCCCGGGAACCCCGGCTGAACATCATCCCTATAGGGCCCCGTCTTTAGGAGTCAATTGGTTCCTTCGCGCGGAACGCTACGCGCGGTACGATCGGGTATGATTCAGGTCAGGCGGCGAGTTACCCTTACTCGTCGTCCAGAGACCCACGCTTACTGAAACTTAAGATCATCTCTCAATCCCCGACGTCAAGAACGTCGCCTACAGCGGTTTGGAGAGGCAATGGTGTCCCAGTTTGTTTGTTTCGTTCGTTCGTTGGTGGGAAGCGAGAGGCTCCGCTCCGTGGTTTCGACTAAGGCCGGGCGCGAGAGATCCACGCCACCGATTACTTCCCTGAGGACACACGGCGATGCTCATCCCAAGCAGAGCACACTGCAGCCGCGGCGCCACCGTTCCACCGTGTCCTCCAGGTGGTTCTCATAATGGCGACACCCGGGCATTTCCTCCCGCTGGTTCCGAAACAGGAACCTACCGAAGCTGTTGTGCCCGGTAAGCACCTGCGTCAGGCGGAAGGTGAGAACGCCATGGCGTCTCTCAAGCCACCCCTCAAAGAAGGGTCTTGAATATATGTTAAAGTTGGGTTTAGTGGTGAAAAGATTGAAAAATAGCTATTTTTAATCCAAACTAATATTATAAATGCGAAAGTAACTCAGTCTATCTGTCTGTCCTTTCTTCACACCTAAACTACTGAACCTATTTGTGTGAAATTTGTTAAGTGCAGACGTAGTTTGGAACTCGAGAAAAAACTGCAGGAAGTCACTATTCATCGCGAACAAAGTCGCGGGCAAAAGCTAGTTTAAAATAAAACATTGCCTCGCATTCGTATTGTCTCCAGTGTCGTAGGTGCGTTTACAAACATCCAAATTGTTGTCTTTGTACATACTTCTGTACTTACTCTGACTAAAAACCACCCCGTGCCTTCTCCTGATCCAGGCTGGGGCCACAGTATTATTACGCTTGCGCCGTTAAGAACAATCCTCAAGTGAGAGCTCAAGAACTAAACTATTAAGAGGACTCGTGTCCCGTCAAGAGTGTTGATGCTGCCCCCTGTAGCCATGGCCGACATTTAAGTAGTAAAAACCACCAAAACCACTCTCTAAAACCTAGGAACCAATTTTCTTGTTTCTCCCAACAGATATATCAAAGGTATGGTCTCTTCGTATTATTTAACACATTGAAAATAAACAAGGATTGACTTTCACAATAGTACTTTATTAAAGTAAATTTATGAATACAATTTTACATGCATAAGAAAAAAACATTACGAAACAATAGGTACTAATACAAGACAAAACAATAGGTAAAGTTAATAGAAACCAAATCTCAAAACCATTACAAATCAATTTCAGTTTATTTGCAATAGATAACCATTCTTAAGATTTCGAATTATTTAAATAAATACCTAAAAAACTTATATCTAAGAAAATTGCGTCTTAGGCCACGTATCGCAAACCACGAGCGTCGCGGCGCGTTTCATGCGAACTTTGTACATTGCTGCAGAAGACTGCATTGTTGTCTGCTCCAACGCAAACATAGGAACATTGTGAGCAATGTATGAAAGACCGCACAACGCGCCGTTACCATCACCTTAGTCTTATTACAAGTGGCAGATTTTTATCGTAGGTATCGCTAATAGTTTCTACACCAGCGCCCATTAAACTTTACCCAAAACAAAACGCTACTTCATCTGAACATTTTCGATAAATCTAATATAATTTTGTATTGAACGATGTCCATTAAAATATGGGTGTATCTTTTATGAAAATTGACTTTGTTGAAAAGTTAGGCTTGGTTGAATTCGCTCCTTGTGTTGAAGATTAAATTCAGGACAGAGACATCTGTTGAGAAAGACAAATTAAGTTATGTCTCGTTTTCTTAAGCCATGTAAGGTTAACTGATTTCAATTGAAAGGCCAGCAACGCATTAGTTACTCCCATCGCGTTGTATGTAATTTAGGTATCCATAGGTTGCTAACCATTGCGTAAATATGCACGGTATGGTATAAAGGTATTTTTTAAAGATGGGGCCCCATCTAAAAATAATACCGTTTTTGAGGGAGCATAATCGTCCAGTGACTTCTTCCTCCCTAAATAGGACGGGGTGGTTAGCCGTGATTGGATGAGAAGCTGAACATCGAGTACAGTGGCGTGCAATTGGAGAAGCAATAGGCCTATGTCTAGCTGTGGACGAAATCGAGCTGATGATGATGAAGAGGGACGAGAGGTTATGTCAGACTCTTGTTAAAAAAAGACACTGTTCCTTCGCCTGCTCTGCAACGGCAATCCTAGCTAGAATATACCTTTGTGAACTTACAACTCCAAAACGTCGTCACAGACTTTCACGATACCTCATTTATTGGTTTGCCTCTCTCGTACTGCGTGGGAGAGTCATGCTTTGGCATAAATGAGTCGGCAGTATAGGACACCTGGTGATACCACAGAATATTTACAAGAGACCAGTCTGCAAAAAATACTACTGAGGTTACTGAAAGGCCCTAATCCCCCAACCCTTCCCCAGAAGACAGACAATGTACTTGCAAGTTTGACCATTGGTGTCACGTGTCAACAGTCAACAGGCGACACTGTTTACTTGCCATCGGGTGATCTATCTGCTCATTTGCCGTTGCCACTAATCGCATGAAAAAGCAAAAAGTGATTAGTAGACACTCACCTATGGAAGCATCTGATAGTCCACTTTTTCTAAACTTAAACCTCTGAGTACTCTTGTCACTTCTATTTAATTTGCTGTTACCACTCTGCAGTTGACCGAGTTAATTGGAATGTTCCACCACATTGTAATAACGACAAAAACAAGAATAATTTGGTGACACGAGCTCACGTTTTCGCTAAGTGCAAAAAAATGGCAAGAAACGCTAAAATTTTAGTTCAAAATTGATCAGAAATACTCGAGAGAACATCGCATGCATTCCTGTTTATGATCCGTTGCTGTTTTGTAATTCATCTTGTGAATGTTGAACTGTGGACAATAACAATTTCTTACTTTAAATAAAACACGCTAGAAGAGAATGAATAGAATGTACCGTGTTCAAGACTTAAATATTTCTTAAACCGTTCGACGATTTACAAGTCTTTACCCACCACAACCTCCAAAAATCACTGCAACTTTTGTAAGCTAGGATCTACCGAAGAAACAATGAAGTCCCAGCGCATTCCAGGAACATGAATTCCGTCTTGGATCGCGAAATAAGTCAGAAGATATTATTTGAGGAGAAGAAAAAAGCTATTCTCATTATTCAGTATTTTTTGGCAAAAACCAATCTTGACCAAGAGCCCCATAAAGTCTTTCAAGTGAGATAATTCTAGCTAGAATTAATGAGGCAAATAATACTTACTGAGATTAGAAATTTTTTTGTCTGTTTAGTATCCAGAAACTTGCTTTTGGTCAGCTCTAAAAGAATTCTAAACGTCTACATTTTCAGTTAGATGAGTCCACTTTTTCATTTTAAAATACATAGTAAAATTTAAGGCTTTTTAAAATTTAAAAACATTGTATGTATGCCTGTAAATACTAAGCCAATTTCTTATATGTTTTTTGCCATTTTTCCCTATAATTTAAGAGACATCGCCAATATCTTTAAAAAGTGTAGCCGAGGTTAGGAATCGGGTGTTCTATTTCCGACTCGTATCAGGTCTTGGACATGAACCTAGGAAGTACCGAGAATGGATCCCGGATACTATAAGACAGGCACAGCACTGCCTAAGGCCGTACACCTTGATGATATTCCAACTTCTAACGCGAATCATTTGTTGTTTTGCGTTTAATTATTTAATCAAGGACAAAATAATTTGTATATAAATAAATATCTTTAGCAAATTCCTACTCCGAGATTAAAATTCCAACTTCTGCCTACCAACTGACATACTTCAAATGTCAAGATTATCCTACTTTTTTATAAAACATTTACCATTTGCATGCGTGTAGCATTGTTCCTTCTTCGTGTGAGAATAAGTCATTTAATGACATTTCGGGCCTAATAAGGCGAGAAAAAGAATCAGACTCTTACTGACTATCACCTAAAACTACTCAGTCTCTTCTCTTGTCACTGGCCAGGGTCTCGGTACATTATAGCTTGCCCCCACTACCCTGAACATGGGCCCTTTTGGGCCCCATTTGCATCGGTATAATGGCTCTTTGCTAATCTTGCTTGCCGTTTACAGACTAATGCTTACGATGGCCGGAGATAGTCTGATAATAATGGGGATACCTCCAAGTAACATAAAGAAGAAGAAGGCTCCACAGCCATTTTTACGATAATTATCTTGCCCAATGAAGCAATATATTTATAATGTCATGATCCCAATCGAATTCATCTAACAACATAACAGAACAAAAATGGCTTCTCTCTCACACTAGTATGTTAAGAGGTTCCCGCGCTAACAATAATGGCTGAAGAACAAATACTTGTGTGCCTAGTTTTCGTCAAAATAAAATCTACTTTATAAAAACGCGATAAAATGCCTTTAGTTTTTCATTTCGACTAAAATTGCCACTAGAACAGGTTTATTACACCAAAACAACCTCCTTTCCCAGAATAGAAATTAAAAAAACAAACCATAATCAAAGCATAAACACAAAAGAACAGACGTAACAGAACAAAAATTTCGGCAACAGACAGAATAACACCAAACGTCTACAAATTTATATTTACAATTTGCAATGCCATATCTACAAATATTTCTATTAAAATTATCTCTTAATCAATAAAATCATTGGATTCAAATGCGGCATTTCGGTAAACTAGGAGTAATTAAACAGTGCAGCCTGAAATCTGTTCCTGCTCAGTTAGTGAAGAAGGAAGTGGTTATTGACCCAAGAATCTGTGCTCCGAAGGAGTTTTCCTGGCACCCTCCAGTGCCGAAATTCGCCGTCGTTTTTTTAAGCAGCGCTTTCGAGCACGTAACCAAGCGAAACAGCATTTTGACCACCATGAATAACAGACACTGAACTTAAATTTAGAAGTCCATTGCGACTCCAGTTCTTCTAACACAAGAATCTCCTTACACTAAAGCAGTGATGCGTTGTCGGATCCGTTTTTCGCGGTTTCACTGCGTGTTTTTGTTTTGCCTAATTTTTACAGTGATGTATTTCTTCGAACTGATAAATGTCAAGAAAACATCGAGAGCTGTAAATACGCAAGTTTTTATGTTAAACTATTCGTATAGTACAGAAATACATACAGAAATAGCTCCCGAAAGGTATTACAGATATCCTTTGACGAATGGCATGAGAGTCGCAATGGGTACGTGACTTTGGGCTTTATAAAAATAATATTTTTTTATGTATGAGCAAACGGATTGTATGATGGTAACCAATCAGCGTCGGCCCACGACACTCGTGATACCAAAGGGGTGTCAAGTGTGTTGCTAGGCTCTTGTGAGTTGTAAGAGTGTTAACGATAGTGGATTTGAGGATTGAGGATGGGAAGAAGGATGTCCTCACACGGCCAAACACAACATACGTGTTGCTTCGGTTTTCTGAGGCCGTGATATCACTCCGATCGAGCCGGTCCATTCGTGCCGAAGCATGGCTCTCAATATAATGTGGGATATTATTTTTCGTGCTCCAAAGCTACTATTATTTTATTAATAATATAATATTCTTTTTACAGATTACCTTAACTACAACACTTCATATTACTGGTTCATGACAATGAAACGGTGGTTTAAAAATATTGGCGGTGAGTCCTTATTTGTGTAGTTCCATAGTTCCATTGTCTTATTAATGGGACGAATGATTGTTTGTTACTCTTTCAAGTAAAAACTACTGAACGGACTTGAATGAAATTTTGCTTAGAGATAGATTGTAGTCTGAAATAATTTATACACGTCATTATTAATAAAAAATTCTGTTTTATTTACGTATCAGGTTTTTTTTCGATAATCATTATCAGTTTTTTTTATTTGCTATAAACTAGTGCTTGACTGCGATCCTACCTGATGGTAAGCAGTGATGCAATCGTTGATGGTAAGGCGCACTAGTTTATTAAGAGCCTATTCACTCTAGCCTTGAAGACACCTAAAAGTTTAAGATACTAACTCAGTAATATATTTACCGCCTCGTTTGTTATATGGCCGCAACTCTAATTCCGGTTTTTTTTTTATTTCTTATTGGTAACACTGATTCTGGAATAGTGCGCAGTACATGCCATAGGTTGTCAACCCATTACTGGTAACGATACCAGATATGCGGATTACCTGATGGTAAGCAATCAGCGCCGCCCATGGACACCCACCCGCAACAACCAAAGCGTCACAAGTCCGTTGCCGACCTTTTGGGGATTTAGGGCTTAGGGAAGGTTTGGGAGAGGGGCAGGAAAGTATCCATGTAACTATTTTTTTACGTGAACGTTTTGCCTTTATCTGACAATACTAATTGTAATTTTAAGGTGCAAGAGAATATTCGGAAGGATCACTTACATGTAAAGTAGAGGGCTGGGAATTTGGTATGTATATTAAAACAATCCTATCTTCGTAACCTAACCAATTAGCAGTTGACAAATGCGGAATAAGATTTTTTTTATGGAATAGGAGGCAAACGAGCAGACGCATCACCTGATGGTAAGCGATCGGCGCCGCCCATGGCCACCTGCAACACCAGAGGAGTCACAGGTGCGTTGCCGGCCTTTTAAGAAGGAGTACGCACGTTTGTTGAAGGTTTGAAGGTAGTATCGGTTCGGGAATACCGCCGCCGGAAGATTATTCCAAAGTTTTGCTGTGCGAGGCAGAAAGTTACGCGTGAAGTTACCATTATCTCTTCTCGTCTTTCATATAACCTCATCTATCCTTTTTTATGGGATGAGCAAATGAGCAGTCAGACGATCTGCTGGGGCTGCTGGTAAGCATTCGGCGGCGTCTATAGATACTCTTAGCACTGGAGGAGTACTGTGCCAAGTGCTTTAACAGCATTTGGGGGTTATGGATTTAAGGACAGGGGGAGGGCTCCAATAAAGGCCACACTTACACGAAAGAGGCGTTGTTCAAAGCCGGTTTTCGTGAGGCCGTTTACTCCGATCGTGCCGCAGACGGCTCCTCTACTTTATCTACCCAACTTGTTTTTATCCTAAAAGGATCAGACACAAATGAAAACAAAAGTAAATGGCTAAATAGTCGTGTAACTTATTTTTCTTCAAGGACCAATTAATGTGAATAAAAGCGAAGTATCCTTCGAATGGTTGGAGAAAAATAACCGGCACGTGAAACGCGGAGGATACTATGCCCCGGAAAACTGCCGGCCGACGCAACGTGTGGCCATTATAGTGCCGTATCGGTAACTGCCATCCATTTTCCACTCCTGTTTAGGTACCACCACCCATTTTATACAAAAACCACCCATTTTCTAAAAGGTCTAGTTCTAGGATCAACAGTGCAATGGCGCTGCAGAAAACTTTTTTGTAATACAAGTTCCAGAATCTAAAAACCTGAATCAATTTACTTTAGAATCTATGCTACAAATTACTCAGTCAAGAAACCTCTGAATCCCAACTATAAAAAGATTTTAGACACTTTAGCATTTTATGGTAGATTGGTAAAGTGCAACTGCACGTGTGACCCTTACTTTACCACCCATTTTCTTATATACCACTGATTTTTTTTCTCTCTCTCTCTCTCTCTCTAACACCCGGTTTCCGAAAGGCCGATCAATGCTAAAATCAATTTAATCTCTTGGCAAGTCATCTGATTGGTTGACTGAATTATCAACAACCAATCAGATGATTGATGACAAGAGATTTAACAGAAGATTAGTTAATTTTAGCGTTGACAGATTTTAGAAACCGGGTGTTACTTTAGAATCTATGTATGCTACAAATTACTCAGTCAAGAAACCTCTGACACTACTTAAGCATTGATAAAGTGCAACTGCACGTTTGACCCTCACTTTACCACCCATATTCTAATATACCACTGATTTCTCTCTCCCTCTCTCTCTCTCTCTCTCTCTCTCTCTCTCGCACACGCACAATGTTTCATTACACGCTATTATTATATTACACACGCAATTTTTTTTACAAGTTATGCTGTATATTTTCAGAGATCGCCGCGTTAACCTTGGTATTTTTCTTTATCATATACATAAATTACTAAGAAAACAAATGTTGGAGTACAGGATTTTCGTCGTAGAACAATTCGGTAAGATACAGGGTGTCAAGGAAATAGTATTGAATATATGTAGGTAGATTGGGAATTGAACGTCACTCCTTTGCAAATATCAAACGAATTTATGCCAAATTAACGTGTGTCTGTGTAATATTAATTGAGTTCTCCGTCTCTGTCTTTTTTAATGTGATACTCTGGCAAACGAGTACATGATTACCTGATGGTAAGCAATCGGCGCCGCCCATGAACAACCGCAGTTGCAAGTGCGTTGTTAGCCTTTTGGGGATAAGGGGTTTTGGGGATTTACGGATTGGCGTGGGAGGGTAAACCACAACACTACGGTAGCTTTGCGTCGGTTTTCTGTGAAGCCCACCTATTACTCTGATTTAATTTCTTTCTTCAAACACAAGGGACAGATAAGTTCAACAAAGGCACTCTATACAATATCGCGTTCCTGGAGAGTCAGCGGTTCGGTTCCTGGGACTGCCTCATATTCCATAACGTAGACCTGATCCCTGAAGACGAGAGGATATCCTACTCCTGTTATGACCATCCAACACATTTGGCTGCTGCTGTAGAATCATTTAATTATAGGTACGTAAGGATATCGGAATAGACGCCTAGATCCTAGCTTTCCTCTTAGATATAAAATTTTATTTAATACTAGCGGCCCGCCCCCGTTTCGTTAACAAAAAAAGATAGTTTATAGAACACGTATTTAGTAGGTAACTCGATTTTTTGGATCTGTTTTAATCTATTTAATATTTTAAGTTTGTATGCTTGAAGTTTGTACGTAGGGGTCTATCTTATATCTCTATAATCTTTGGTCGGATTTCCAAAATTAGTTCACTGATAGATAGCTACAATGTTCCTGAGTGCTATAGGCTATAAAACGCCACGCTACGATTAAATGGAGTCGAGGAGCGTGTGATACCGCTCGAGAGAAGCTACTGTACTATAAGTATATTAACGAAACAAAAAATATACAGTACAGTCAGCGAAAAATAAAAATTGAGGCATTATAGGAGCATTCAATCTACAATTTTTTTATAAACTGTCCCGATTATGACACTTTGAATGAACTTGTCTGTATGCTGACTTTGTTGTACCGATTATTTGCTGGTTTGCGTTTGTAATAACACTTGCACATACTTATTTATAATTGAGTACTCTGAATGTCCCAATATATTTGACGCTGATTGTACTTCGACGGCCGTAGTTTGTTTGATATTTATATTTCCAAAATAAAACCTATTCTTTAGTATACGTGAAGTATAACAGGTAGACAGTTTAACATCCCGAAACCCTCTACATGCAAAAGTTCATCGAAATCGTTAGAGCCGTTTCCGAGATCTTGTGAATATACGTACAAACCATCGATCACTAATAAAGAACTTTCTTTATTAGTGAACGTTCTTTATTAGTGATCGATGGTACAAACGCACATACATACTTATACGTAAATATTTAATAGAATTGGTCATTTAAAGGTACCTATTTTTAGATTCTGTTAAACATCTAGTTAGTTACATACTTTTTCAATTTGTTTACAATTACGTTCGCGTATGTTTTTTAAACAAGTGGTACCTACTATTTTGTAGTTTTATACTTACACCCAGTGTCCGAAAGGCCGATCAATGTTAAAATCAATTAAATCTCTTGTCATCTGATTGGTTGACTGAATTATCAACAACCGATCAGATGACTTGACAAGAGATTTAACAGGAGATTAGTTAATTTTAGCGTTGACAAGCCTTTCAGAAACCGGGTGTAAGTATCTAATACTTACTTTAAAATGAGAATACTTACGTCCTGTTGCAGATTGCCGTACCCGAATATCTTTAGTGGAGTAACTGCACTCACTCCAAACCAGTTTAGAAAAGTCAACGGCTATTCTAATTTCTATTGGAACTGGGGCGGAGAAGATGATGATTTCTATTACAGGTTTTTCATTTATGATCTATACTGAGAAAAGCTCAACTAATTTTAGTTTAGTTGGCTTGCTTCTATGTGATACCTGATGGTAAGCAATCACCGCAGCCTACGGACATTAGCAACAACGGAGTAGTTAGCAACGAGTGCGTTGCAGACCTTTTGGGGATTGGGGTTTTAGGGATTTTTTTTTTGTATTTTGTAGATCGGCAAACGAGCAGACCGATTACCTGATGGTAAGTAATCAGCGCCGCCCATGGACACCCGCAACGGAGGAGTTACGAGTGCGTTGCCGACCTTTTAAGGATTAGGGATTTGGAGACTTAGGGATTGAGGAGGGATTGGGGGTGGGGAAGGATTGGGCCTCCGGTAACCTCACTCACCCGGCGAAACACAATGCTGTGGTTGTTTCACGCCGGTTTTCTGTAAGGCCGTGGTATCACTCCGGTCCAGTCGTGCCGAAGCATGGCTTTCCCACACATGATATCTGATGGTAAGCAATCACCGCCGTCCATGGACACCTGCAACAACGGAGTAGTTACATACAAGTTAAAAGTTGCGTTGCTGACCTTTTGGGGATTAGGGTTTTAGGGATTTCGGGAGAGAAAGGATTGAGACCACTGGTAACCTCACTTACGAGTGTGGCTTTTCGTATCGCTTTCGTCAAGCTGACCCAGCTGACCCGATAAAAATGATTGTTAACACGTTAACTGCCACGTAGGTTACAGGTGACCTAAGGTAGCGGAGGATTTGCTTTCAATAGTTTTCTGTCTGCAGTGAAAGGCTTAAATACTTATACATATGTAGGTGTAAAGAAAGATGAAGGTCGTGTTAAAATGTATTTTGTTTATTTCAGGCTAGAGAGCCATAACATTACCATATTTAGACACAACAGCTTCTACGCCCGGTATGCTGTACTGCCTCACAAACTCAATAAAGGGGGGCCAGAGAGGTACTTATGGATTTTTCATTAATTATATATTTATGTCATGATCATCAATAGTCGTGGTGGCCCGGTGTTTAAGCAGCCCACTTCTCATGCATGAGGGTGTGGGTTCGAAACCTGGCAAGTAACAATGTGACTTTTTCCGAGCTGTATGTACTTTCTATGATTATTTAGACACACAGACATACGGTGAAGGTAAACATCGTAAGGAAACCTGGACTTATAATTTTTTTGTAAATTAATTGAGCAAGCGTGGTGATTAATGCTCTAACCTTCTCCTTATGAGAAGAGGCCTTTGCTCAGCAGTGGGCACTTATAGGCTGATGATGATGATTATGTCATTAATCGGCAAACGAGCTGAAAGATACCTGATGGTAAGCAATCAGCGCCCACCATGGACACTCGTAATACCAAAGAAGTTACTACAAGTGCGTTGCCAGCCTCTTGTGGGTTGTTAGAGATTTAAGAATAGGGGATTTGAGGATTGGGCGTGTAGAAAAATTGGGCCTCCGATAACCTCACTTACACAGCGAAAGACAACTCTGTGGTTGTTTAACGCCGGTTTTCTGTGAGGCCCTGGTATCACTTTGGTCGAGCCGGCCCATTCGGACTGAAGCATGGCTTGCCCACACTTAATCTTCGATTTAAAATCTTCTTTACGTGGCCACCACAGTGATTAGCCCATAGTAGGCGACAGCCTTAAGTTGTCAACTATATCGAGTGGTCCTATGGAAAAAAAATTGCTGTCTTAATGGCTGTTCAACCGAAGCGCAAATGTCCGAAGTGTTGACGAGAAGTTTTTCAGCTAGAGTATTTCCTCGGGAACTGTGTATATTCTGTAACTTAAATCTTACTTTTAATAATATGTATAATAAATTACTTGTGGAGACTATAAAAATCTAGTTACATCGTGCCGTTAACAAAATACTATAATTGTTATTATAAATATACTCGTTGGTACGACGGGTATTTAGGTATACTGACCCGTCCGTCGACCCGTCCTACCAACGGGTATTTAAACTAACAAACAAGACAAGTTTAAATACCTATACTGACAAGTGTAAATACCCGTTGTCAGGACGGGTATTTATACTGACGATAATTATTTTGTTAACCATTATTTCTCTTGCAATCTTTACAGAAAATTACTCCTAATGTTATCAAAGAAGAGGTTTAAAAAAGAAGGTCTTAGAACAACGATATACAGACTAGTGAAAGTGGTGAAAGAAAAATTATACACACACATATTAGCCGACGTTAATCCATTGAAAATGAAACTTGACATAAAGACTTTGATCGAGAAACTTTTCGATATAAATGGCGATAATATCGCTATTGGCTTTGAAGAGTTCCAGTTAGGCTTTCCCCGTAAAAGAAATTTAAGTATAACCTAAATAAAACATGCCAGTCACTCACTATAAAATGGGATGAATAGAATTTAAGGAGTAAATAGATACACAAAACGGGTGAATAGATGTTGGCAAACTTTCCTAGTATCTATTCACCCCTGTTCTGCGTCTACATACCCCTTGAATTCTATCCACCCCACTTCTACATAGGAATATTTTAAATTTAATATCTAGAGATAATAAACAGGTAAGTTGGCGAAAAACAATTACATTATCGAGTGTAAGAGGCAAATTGCTTATAAACTAATTACTGAAAATGACGTAACTCATTTGTTTTTGATTGAAACATTTATAAAAATATAATTTAAAAATTACTTTTATACGTAAGAATTGCTTTTATGTAAAATATACATTTAATTTGTTTGTAATTTTGTATGTAAATAGTTGATAATAACTTACTATAGTTTACAAAATTACTTACAATATAATTAATTACATAATATCAGAAATATTATCGTGACTTTTATTTTTATTTAAAGATGTATCAGTTGGCACACTTATTTGGTTTACTGGTACGAGAAACCACCATTGTATATTTGTGTATAATTTATTTAATTTTGTACAACGTGGTGGCCCGGAGGTTAAGGGATCTCGTTGCATGAGGGTGCGGATCCAAAACCTAGCAAGTATCTACCAATGTGACTTGTTCCGAGTTATATGTACTTTCTGCGATATTTAAACACCACTGACATACGGCGAAGAAAACATATTGAGAAAACCTGGAAAGTGTTGCTTGATATCGCTTATCCGCCTTGAGCGCAAACACGAGCGCAAGCGTGGTGATCATTATACTTATAATGCTCAACCTTCTCCGTGTGAGAAGAGGTTTTTGCGTAGCCAGTAGACACTTATAGACTGATGATGTTGTGTGCTATGTTATATTATGATTTTTAGTTTAACCTAATATATTATAGCTACAGCCTCCGCAATGAATCAAGCTTGTTTTTCTCCAACTCGCAAACATTACCGAAAACAATAGTTTCTGTACGATGCCAACCTTTGGGTAGAGGGCGCTGGGACTTGGGCCACCTCAATTCCTTAAGATTAAAATTAAATTTGGCTCCTTTTTAGCCGGCGTAGCACCAAAAAGTAATAAAATTGCCATAACCCATCGCCTTCGTTCGACCTTCTGACAAACCAAATATACTTAATAACATAACTTAATAATGACGTTTTCTGGCGTTTCGGCTATTCTCGGAATTGACGAAAATGGCTATATTTCGTTTGTCTTCTGTAGCCGACTAGCTGGGGAAAAGGGTGAACATTGTTTTTTTTTTAATCAGCTCTCCCTTTTCACCTCCACTTTCAAAGACTATGGTATATATACTTACCTCTTTGCTATAGGTACGCCCTCTATTAACCCGTTTTTTAACCTTGTCATGTCATTCTGACATAATCGTTCGTCCATGAATTTTGATCAAGAAAAATTTAAATTAAGTATAAAAATTGAAAGCTTTCCGTATCGAGACAGTGAAATGTACCAAAGATTTTTTGATATTACATTTCAAAGTGTTAACTCATTGATTATCGACGAAAGTTTTGAAATATAGCAATGGACACCAACTCTTACTGTCGGACCCGGAGAGTGGGGATCTTTATACTTTGTCTCATCATCATCCTAGACTGCTACTGTCATCTGTCGATGTACTACGATATCTTGAAGAGTAACGCTAGACGAAGGCCTTATGACGACTCCAAGCCTTTCAGTCCCCTAAACAGGTCAAAAACTCGTTACAAATATTCTTTAGTGGACTCGCGATACGCTTTTATGGGTATGTGTATATCACTACGTAGTTTAAAATAAAGTCGCTCTTTCTGTCCCTATGTATGCTAAAATCTTTAAAACTACGCAACAGATTTTGATGCGGTTTTTTGAAAGGTAGATAGAGTGATTGTAGAGGAAGGTTTATAATGTATAATGGAGTAATTTAGTATCAGCATGTCACCAGTGCGAAGGCGGGGAGGGTCGCTAGTAATAAATCCTGCTATTAATAAATGTAAAAGTTTGTAAAAATATATGGATGTATGTTTGTTATTATTCCACTACTGCTATCAGTACCTAGCAAAAAAGCCGTTTTTTAACTTTTGAAGAGGAAGTAAATAAAGAATGTAAAGTGCTGCACCAACTATTCAGAAACCTGTTTAACAGCATCACCATTTTGTACCTATGTACATATGTGCTATATAGGTGACAAATCTTCTTTCTTGAAAATGGTGAATCTACCTATTACAATTATTGCAATTTTGTAACAATGTTTTCAGATTACCAAAATGCTTTTAATTCTTCTTACCATTGGTTCATGTCCATGAAGCCGTTCTTTAAAAATATTGGTAAGTAATAGGACATGTAAAACTTATTTACTATAATATATCTTTTTCTATGCTCCGAACGGTCATTTTAATTTAGATGAAAGAAAAAACATTAATACATTGTTACATAAAAACATCGGATGGTGAGCAAGGATCAAGGACGTCTGACCAGAAACAGACAATAGACCACTAAAGATGGGACCTAACAGAGCCGATATTCAGCCGTGGGTTGCGGGGCAAGCGCACATATAACGAACTGCGGTCTCGGAGCAGGATAAGGAACGGGGTGGTTTTTTGGTCAGTACTGATTCTGACACTGCCTCTTGCCCCCCACCCAGTGCTGAAGAAGTCATTTGATGAGTTTCCTCCCACAGAAAAAACATGAACATGGTTTTGCCTCGTTTGGTAAACAAAAATATAAAACGCCACTCTGCAATCAGCATGAAATAATACGAATAGTTCTTCGGATATACTGATGAAAGTCTTTAAGCTAAATCAGTGCAAATCTTTGACCACTTTTTTTGTGAGGGGAAAATCATCAAAATACTTCTTCCGCCCAGGTTCCGGGCGGGAGGGAGTGTCAGACTCTTACTGACTAAAAACCCCCCTGTTCCTTCTCCTGCTCTGGGCCGAGGTCGCGGTGCCTCATTGCGCTTACACTGTAACCCCGGCTGAACATCAGCCCTATAGGGGCCCGTATGTGGATCTTTGACCACTGAGTACATATTAGCGCATACTTCTACCTACTTTAATATAAAATATTTGGTTTAAAGCTGCAGAACCGCCGCCAGCGTGCGTACACGAACTACACGCCACGGTGTAACTTGAGTAGTTTACCAGGTAAGATAATTCGCACTTGTTTGGGGGCACTCAACCAATAATTCTATTTTCTTAATAAGCCCCTTCATTCGCTAACAGCGGAAGTGGATATTTTAGGAGAGTTCACCTTTTATTTCACTTATCAGTCACGCAAACAAAACACAAAATATCATTGTATACACTGAGCGGAGACGTATAAGTTATCACAAGAACCTTGAGATCCCTTGCTTTTTTTTTGCTTAGCAGCCACCAAAATGTTACGTGGACCGGCGCGAAAGGCTTTTTAAAAAAAAACTATTTTTGAATAACCTCGACAATTTATTTAGTAAAAATGTTACGTGTGTGATTCGGATGGAGGTCGGAGGCGAACTGAGGATGGGAGGTCTGGAAGGATGGGCGTGGGAATAGAAATATGCTGACTTAGCAGTAAGACGAGAGTGCAAGGGGCAAAGTGTAGGCACAAGTCTTAGGGGAGACCGGGTGTAACAGTTCGCACACGAACCGTAGGCGTATGGCACAGATCTTAAGAGCCTGTCCAGATTAAGTCAATTCTGGATTGACTAGACAACACAAAATTAAAAGGCGCGGATGGATTCGCGCCAGAAACGCCTCACCTGGACAGCCCCTGGCCTCAAGTGTTGTATTCACAGCAGTGGAGTACAACGACCATATTCTTGTGTTCTTCTCCAAAGTTACTCGCAAACAGAATAGATGCATCTGCGCTCGTAGCAGATGCTCGTAGCAGATGCATTTTTTATGTGATGCGCTGGCAAACGACGAGACGGATTACCTGATGGTAAGTAATCAGCACCGCCCATGGACTCTCGGAACACAAGAGGAATTGCTAGTTCGTTGTCGGCATTATGGGGATAAGAGGTTTTCGGGATTCAAGGATTAGGCTGACCTAGGGGAGGAGAAAAATACTTAGGCCCTCCGGTCTCACTCACTCGGCGAAACACGCTGCGTTTGTTTTCACGCCGGCTTTTGTGAGGCCGTGGTATCACTTCGGACAAGCCAACCGAAATATCACCCACCCACGTTTTTTTAAATAGTCAGTCAGAACTCACATATAGACCAACATAGTTATTTGAATATATTTTATTGCAGATGATAAAGGATTCAAGTTACTGAACGCAACTGGATCCAAAATGCATCAGGTTGAAGAAAGTCCTACCATCGCAGTCCTTAAACTGGGTGGTTATTATGCGCCGGCGCACTGTCGGGCTACTCACCGAGTGGCAGTTGTAATTGCAGTACCGACAACGTGAGCACAGTTTTTACACGCGTTAAAAAGGAGTACGCACGTTTCTTGAAGGTTTGAAGGTCATGTCGGTTCGGAAATACCGTTCTGAAAGATATTTATGCGCACAGTAATAAAAAACATTTTTTTAATTACTTAGTAGAATTGTTCTTTCGGCAGAATCTTGCTGATTAGAGAATCGCTTCGTATCTTACGCTTACAGAAGAAATGATTCTACTGCTGAAACTTATTCTTGACACATTCCTTTTTATTAAATCAAAATTCCAAAAACAAACAATTAAAAAAATACACTAACAGAGGTTATAAAGCCAGTTCCAGAATTACCGATTAACGAGAAGACCAACGAATGGCTTTCCTCGTTGCTTTTATAAATGTCTGTCTTCCAGGCTCTGCATAGGCAGTCGTTTAGTTCTGCTTCATAATCTTCACGCTCTGCTGCAAAAACAACATTTGGAATACAGAATATTTCTCATTCCTCGTTTCCTTGGTGAGTACATTTTTTTCTTTTCTTGGTCTCGGCCATTCTTTGGACTATCTCACCTGGTGCTGAGATGATGCGATTTTCAATGAATCACTTCTACCTGCCCGTTAGCAACCTGGTCAATCGCCATATATTCTCCCTTGAGGAAATACAGGCTCCGACAAAGAATTCTACTACTTGAGTATGATTGATGTCATATAATGTGATGTGACTTTGCTGTATATTTTATGGTGGACTTCGTTTTGGCGCTAGCATTGACCTTGGATCCACAACTTTTATAAGAAACATCTCGCTCGGTTCTTTCAAAAATTAAAGTAAGGTTTTCCAAACTACATGAACACGTACAAGACATGAACTTACTTAAAACTGCGTTACCAATAAGGGGCCCGTACTTTAAAAATGAATCTTTAATACCTTTGTTTTTTAATTTACTTTTAGGAGATCCCAAAGGCACTCTATACAACGCTGCGTTCCTGGAGAGCCAGCGGTTTGGTTCCTGGGACTGCCTAATCTTCCACGACGTAGACCTGATCCCTGATGACGAGAGGATATCCTACTCTTGCCCAGAACAACCGACACAAATTATTACTTGGGGTAACAGGTAAAAAATATATAATTATTTTTTAAAGTTTTATGCGATTCGCCAACTTTTCCTAAGACAACTCCCAAAATGTCGTATATGTTTTGTTTATTTGTAACAAACATGAAACATACATGATTTACCCATGTGACATTTTCCTCTGGGCACGAATATTACCTTTTGCACCCCGAGCCAGGCTAAATAACTGCATCTACTGCCTGGCTGGCAGTGATTTGATAGATACCAAGGCTGAAAGATATACAGCTAACAATTGGTAGATATAAACCGATGATTTTGAATAATTAAATCCTTTACTTACTTATTAACAACTGCTTACCTCCAGGTCTATCGGGATAGTGACAGCAATAACACCAGATCAGTATCAAGCTGTCAACGGATTCTCCAACATGTATGTCGACTCAGATTTAGCTGACTACGATTTTTCTGGCAGGTAAGATTCTTTTTCTTCCACGGGCTTTATTATATTACTAGCTCTTACCCTCGGCTTCGCTCCGTCATTTGACTACCTACCCTACCCTACCTATCCTACCTACCCTACCCTACCTATCCTACCTACCCTACCTACCTTACTCTATCCTACCAATTTTCAGCCAAATCGGTTCCATCGTGTTAATTGTGTAACTAACACGACTTTCTTTTATATGTATAGATATAGATTGTACAGACATCTCCTGGTTTTTCTTTGTTTTTTTTTTTAATTGATATTTAATTTGGGGGAATGGGGATTGTCTTTTAATAGCTGCGGTGGCTAATATTAAACTTCACTAACTATGCCTCAGTCTGTTCTTGTCTGAAAGAAGAAATCTCCTTGCGTGCTAAGACTGTCCATAGCAATCACGTCATTATTTTATTGTACCTCACATGTTTTTTTGTGTAGTATAAATGTGGATGGATGGAGAGGGAGAGGGAGACCAAAGAAAATATGGATGGATTGTTTGAGAAGTGATATGGAAGACAGAGGAGTTAAGTTAGTGATAGCGTGACGGGTGACAGGACAGAATGGAAGAAAAAAACATATTGCGCCGACCCCAAATAGAACGGGACAAGAGCAGGAATGATGTTTTTTGTGTAGTAGTGCAATAAAATTTGTATAAATAAGTAAACCTAGCCAAACTATCCTATCCTTTAATCGTATTTATTAATTTGTGGTTTTTGCTTTTAGGCTTAAAGCGATGAATTACGCTATAGCCAAACGTAACGATTCCATGGCTCGGTTTAGGATAATGGCCAATGTTACTAACCATCTCGATAGTAAACGGTAAGTTTTTATATTCTACACCTAATAATTTTCATAGAATTCGAGATGATCGTAAATTAACTATTCAACGAAGTCACCCGTTTAGTTTCAAGGCATGCCGGAGTCCGTAATCATAAACAGTATGCATAACAACCAATTCGAAATTCAAATTTTCAAATTTTCGTTCTATCCAATTTGATAACATTGTTTATCTTTTATGTTTATCTGTTTACAGGGCTTCGCTTGTCACAATGAACAGATTGCTTTTACCAAAGGAAGGTCTCTCCACGACGAAATACAATCTGATCAGGATCGACCAAGACAAATTATTTACGTACATACTGGCGTTCAGCGTTAACGATATCCTACTACAATACGATGCCTTGAAAGAATAATAAATGAAAATTATAACGTTTTTAATATCATATAAGCCTTGAAATTAGTTTGAATGTCACGTTTGAATCCGTCCCTTTTTGCAAGTGTCGTGTCTGCTGTCTTGTACATATATGACGAATATTGTGTGTGGTATGTTAAATAAATTAAAATGTATTCAATATTTGTCTTAATTTCATTAATACTGATAGTGTTCTCTCATTTAATCATATTGTGTGATGTATACCCATTTTTTTACGTGTGATAAGTACCACGGCCCTACGGACTATGCCCAATGGCCAATCGCGAAATGGCACTTATATAGCCGTAGTGTCCAGTGAACGTATCTGTCTAGTCTTTATCGTATATCCCATAAAAACGTACGTTTTATAATTACTTTTGATTTAAACAAAAATTCGAATTCTAAATTCTAAATTTATTTCCATAATTAGACAAAGGAAGCTCCCGAGACAGCCATTATAAAAGTACATAGTAAAATAATTTCAAATTCTATTTAGGGATTGCGTGACGCAAACACTTTTACAACTTCATCGGCAAGATTGAGAGCTGTAAACTTTTTTACCTTGTGAAGCAACGTGCATATATCAGGGTCGATCACCAGTCTGCAGACGTATATGTCGCCATTATCAGTATCATCCTCCAAACGCTTCAACACGTCTGTTACTTGAGCGATGTAAGGCGTTTTTTGCGCTTCGGGCACCAACACAAAATGCCATGGCAAACAAATTCGCAGAACGTTCCAAATGACTGATTGACTAACAGCGTACATTAGATTAGGATCCTCCTCTGGCTCCAGTATTTTCACCTCCACTATGCTTTCAGGCTTTTCTGATATTTTTTCTTCCGCTTCAGCCTCATCTTCACAAGGTGGACATATAAATGTATTCTTTACAGCGCCCGCGGATTGCGATGTTTTACTCTTCGACAGCAAACTCTTCTGAGATTTTACACGAGCATTCATCACAGGCTCAACTACTTTCTTTGCGGATTTACCAGCTTTCCCTTTTTTACCTTTCTTTTCCTCAACCGGAGCAATATATTCTAATTCTACAATGCTAGTTCCTTCACAACGTTTTATAACTTTATCTAAAACTTTGTCTATAAATTCCTTTGTACATTTATTTGCACAAGCCAAGCATTCATCTCTGTACTTTTTCTGTTTAATCAATTTACATACCACTTCTCCACACTGTTCTAGATCAAAACAAGTCTTTTTGCCAACGGCCATAGATAACCCTGTAGTGAATCCATTTATAGGATTAATATCTTTGCAAAATGCTAGTAGAAATGCAGAATAATTCATTTTATTTTCCATTGTTTCAAATAATTCGAATAAAAAATGTTTTATCAAATTCAGCCTCAGTTGTGCATGCTTATCGTTGGGGTCAAAATCCTTTTCAAACCAAAGCTCTTCTGAAATGAAATCATCTCGATCTATCAGTTCCGTTGATGATAGATCATAACATCGAAATCTTTTTCGAAGCTCTAATAAGTCATCTACATTTGGAAATCTTATATTCAAACAATAAATGAGAAAGTCACGCCAATCAATGTATACCGTGTCCCCGAACATCAAATAGACTAATTTGGGCACTTGCTCGGGATCGACACGCTGCCAAGCTTCCGGAAATAGAGGGCCGTTACAACTTTCTTTTCCAAAGAAAAAGAAGTCTTGAAGAAGATAAATAAAAGCTTGCTGCATTATAATTCCAGTCGGCGCGATTATTTTAAACTGCGATCGGAGAGCAGCAAGTTGACTGATCCTGAAATCCATACTTCCGACGGTCTCGGAGACTTTTGTTGTATCAGCGGGGGGTTCGGGAGGAGCAAACTGCAAAAGGTTTGGATCAATCATGAATGTATCATTTTCAAGAACCAGCGTTTCTTGTATCGGTCTGCCATTTTCGACAGCCAATTGCAAATATTTACAAAGTCTATCGACAGATTTAATCTCATTTATGTAGTAATTATTAATATCATTTTGAATGTCAGTAAAGGTTTTATAAATATGATCGTTAAATAATTTCATGTCGCGATAACATTTATATTGAAGAGCTTGCATACGAAGACTGGCTCTATACATTTCTCCATTGATACCCATTGTCCATTCATCTATACATTTCAACGCTTGTACTTTGAAGAGTTCCTCGGCGTTGACTGATTCTTCAGACGTATTTTCATCCTTCTTCTTTAAGGGGGGCTGGACTTTTGCTATTTCGCTATATTCTTTAGCAATAATAGACCGATAAGAATCATTAGTTTCTTTTATAATTTTTAAAGCGAACTTCACGTTATTTTCTATAACTAAATTAAAAGGATTATTTTCAAAGTCGATTTCCATATTTTTTAGCTGCAGTTCTTGGAATCCCAACTTCAACTGTCTAAAAATTTTGTCTTCTGCACCTTTTCTACTACCAGATACGTCATCAGAATCTCTATAGATTTTTGATAATTCTTTAAATGACATTTTATCGTTTGATGGCATATGTTTGATCATAGAAAAATAAAAGTCATGGAGAGATTGAAACGTCATAAAGGATCTGAAATATAAAATAAGATTTTAAATAAAAAATATTTACATATCGTAAACAGAACTTCGATTATCGACACATTACCTGTTTAATTCGGCCTGCATGCAAGAAATATAAGTATTAACTAACGAAGTTAGTTCCTCCATAGTCCAATTGTCACTTATTAATGCCAGCCTTTGCTGTTCAGCACGCAATTTTCTATCGTCACAAATATTATACAATTTGTGCTGTAACTCCTTAATTCTGCAGTGCCATTCGTTTTTAGCCGCATTTATATCACGCCAGTCGCTTTCAAAATCATTATAATCTCTTTGAAATTTACAAACAAGGTCTTGTTTATTCGAAGGTGAAGTGATAATTTGTTCCATTTTGTCCTTAATGAACCTTGCGTAAGGAATCAAACAATTCATTTGCAGCCGTTTTGCAAGAAACAATTGCTGCATATCATTTATGTAAACTTTTTCAATTTCTTGCCAACAAGTTGCCAATGCAACACCTATTACTGTAGGAATGGGTAGGTCTCCGTACTCCCAATCTTCTTCTCCAGCTAATAATTTTATTTCGTCAATACTTTGCGTCCTGTAACTTTCTTCTCCGTCTGTTCCTTCAGGCGACGGTTCATCCACAAGTTCTTCTATTGAGGGTTCCTTCACTACTTCAAGTGGCATCATAGAACTTCTACTCGGTTTTGAACTTTGCATTTTTTCTTTAGATTTACCATTTATAGTTTCGGGCTTAATTATTTTTGATTTCTGTTTTTTATCATCATTTGCTGGAAACTCAAGACAACTTAAAACATTTTCTCCGAAAAGCCTGTCGGCTGATTTTAATGGCAATGAGAAGTCACCAATAATGTATTTACAAATTTGGGCCAAAATTTCTTTATCTATTACCTCATAATACATACTGTAATTAATACCTAGTGCAGCATAAAACCGATCGATTAACTCAGAGTTACTTTCTGTTAAATCCCAAATTACAAGTTCTTGTAGAATATCTAGACTCTCTTTAAGACGAATATAACATGTAAAAAAACTTTCAAACGGTTTGTCATCCCTTTTTTTATGAGGATCGCTTACAAGTCTGGACACCCTAACGTCCTTATGCGGATCTTTTTGTTTTCTGCGATGTTTTGCAATGCAGTCTTCTAGATAAATATCATCTATATCCTCTAATTCGTTCTCATTTGGTGGTGTTCTCCCGGAAAATGTTTCTTCGAGAATTTGGGCTTCTCTGTAGGTGTTGGGGTAGTTTATTATTACAAAGCCTGAAATATCTTTTTCATCTTTGAGATACTGGACAATCATTGCTGCTAATAGATGATCTGTCAAAGTATCACCAATACCCAAAGATTCATAAGCATATCTGCCCAGTTCTGCAGCATCAGACAATTTAATTTCTTCTTCTGGAATTGTTTTTGGGGTTTGTGTTTGTTTAGAATTAGCAGTTACGACACCTAACATAGCAGCGAGTGCTGATTCGTTACTTTTATTAAATGTATCATCTTCCAACTTCATTAACTTTATAAGTTCTTTATCCTCTTCTTCTGGAGCAGCCGCTATGAACTTGTCGAATGACAGATCAATATCGGTACATCCTATCATTTCAGTTTTGAATTTTCGTAGGCAAAAGTTGATCACGTTTTCAATTCGAACTACGTGTATTTTTCTTGAACTTAGCAGAATTTGCATTGGCACAGTTAACGACCTTTCCGGAAGGCCTCGTACTAATGCTTTAACTTTATATGCTGGTAAGTTTGCTGGCGGTAATGGTGGTGGGTACGGATATTTTATTCCAAGCAAAGTGTAAACCATATGACCCAATATGCGAGTTCCTAAGTATTCATATTTTCTTTCTTCAGATTCTGGATCGTAATTAGGAATCAACAAGTCTAAAGTCCACGGATATGAATAATCATGGTAAACTTTGAATTCATTATCATTAAGTGCGTCTTGTCTTTCTAGTTCCAGTCTAACTATTTCCTCTTCTTCAGGAGTTGTTTCTTCTACTATTTTTTCTTTTAAAATATCTTCTGGAGGTTCTAAGATATCGAATATTGGCTGTTGTTTGTAATATAAAACCTTCCATTCGTGTAGGTAATGTTCTGGAATATTATCTTCTCCTATAAGTTTTTTAAAGTACGCGTATTTCGTTGCATAGTCTATTATAGATAATACTGTTTCGTAGCAAATATCGTAATAGTGTAATCGCTTTCGTTTCATTTTTTCCCCATACAATCTTTTATGGAGTATATTTTGTCTCTCTTTTTCGAAGTCAATTTCTGTCTTTTCTGATTGAATTTGTTCTTTCATATTATCTAGAAACTGATTGAATTGAAGTTCTCTTTGTTCTGCAAATTCTCTTTCAGCTAGAATTCTATTCTTGACTAAATTACGTGCTTGCTGTTTAGTCTCCATTATCTGCGTACACATTTGTTTCTCAAATTGTGACAATTTCATAACTTTCTTTGCTAGTTCAGTATCCAACTTATTTTCTTCTTCAGCTACAGAATGTTCCCACAAAGATCCACTCAGAACATTTCGAAGTTGTTTCTGAAACTCTTCAGAATCCGATTTTTTGTGTAACCTACCATAAAGATTATTCATATATGCTTTAGCCCATTCAGAATCAGAAAATGAGGATCTTTGTTCTTTAGCTTTCATTTCCATGGAAACTAGTTGATCATATGTATAATTTTCAAATTTACAAGGATACTTTAATGCGAATTTTTCCATATCTTCACGCTCTTTGTTTGTCAATTTTGGCGGCAATGTTGTTTTTTGAGAGCACATTGGAGTGCTGGTCTCTTTTATATTCCTTAACATTCTCGAGTATTTGTGTCTTATATATTCATACGTATCTTTTACTTGTTTACTTTTCTTTCTTTGCCATTCAATAAAATGTCGCTCGTTCAATAACGGCTTCGCAAGATCATCGACTACAGACTCTTCTTCTTCTGGTATGTTTTCTACTTTAAATCTGTGGCCCATTTTCTCTATTAAAGAAGACACCATTTTTCTTTCACGTTTAATGAAATTTGTTCTGTCCCTTTTATCCAAATGTAAAAACATTTTATAAAATAATCTAAGTATTGCAGAACTCTTACCATCCATTATGTTTTCAAGATCATTAGCGCTTAGGTAAACATTCAATTCAGCTAACCATTCCGTTAAATATTTCCAGTTGCTTTTAATATCTTCTTGTGCTAAACTCGCCCTTATTAAAAAATGTTTTTCATCGTTAATCACGTTGTAACTGTAGAGTACATCAGAAATTACATAACCATTCTTCATCATATCTCCAAATTCTTCGGCTTCCCATGCTATAGGACGTTGCAGCCTCTCAGTCAGCCATTCTTTTAATATTTCAGCCATATTGCTATATTTTTTTCATTTCATTGATCACAAAGTTTATTAATCTGAAGATGATATTTTATTTGTTACAGTTTGGCACACAATAAAAATATTTAACGAGAATTCACAAAAGATAAGTAAAATACAAAATGACATTGACAAATGCTTATTTATGATGACCTGTGTTTTTTTAACAAAATACAAAATAAAAAGAACAAATAGTTTGTATGTTATAATGAAAACTTACCTATTTATTTTTAGCGACAAATTCCGGTTGTTTTTTCGCCGTGGTTTTCCTTCAATGTATTTTTCAAAGTGAAGTCAAGCATCTGTGTCAATTAATCCTTAACTAAGGGCACAGGCACTTTAACAACGTTAAAGATAAATTTCCTACAGCCTTTCAGTCAGCTAAGCTAAGTGCTCGTTCCAAAATAAAGACTTTTACCTATGTAGAAGAACGGGCAGAAAACTCCCATATTAATTTTTGTTCGATCTTTCAGAAACCTGGTTACATAATTTAATTCCAATGTTTTATACTTGTGTCGAACAAGGTAGGACGTATTATATTAAATTATCATATTTTTTAAAAATCATATAAATTGACTGCAATCCCACCTGATGGTAAGCAGTGATGCAATCGTTGATGTTAAAGGCGCACTAGTTATTTAAGAGCCTATTCACTCTAATCTTGAAGATACCTAAATCATAACTGGATGGGAAGGCTGTTACAGACAAGCTATTTGTGATGTGCATGATATATACGACGAAGAGATAGCGCTTAGACCGCATGGTAGAGGTCTTAACAATATAAGGATGGATACCCGTCGTACGATGTCCGATGTAGGTTGTCCGATGGTAGAAAAGTCTCGTGTAGTTCCCGCAAACACTCAAATGATAACGTTGACTGACTGGTCATCCACTAAAGATTTCTTGTCCGTTTGATTGCAACTCTATCAATTAAACTCAAAATACTCAATAGTATGACGGTTAAATAGTTATTATCAAAAAGATCCTCCACCCACTGTGTACGTTATCTATAGATAATCACTCCATATTTATTCAACTTTAGGGTACCTATATTAAATTATTGGAATTTAAAACTTTTACACCATACAGTAAAATTAATTATTTATAACTAAACCTAATCAGTCATTTAAACATTCTTTATTTGCCATTATCTATTAAAATAATCTACAATTTAGTGACCAAATTTTATCTTTAACATAACATAGGTAACCTCTCTGTATATATTTACAACAACAAACACCTTCTTTTTATAATAAAACTTGTTATTAACCGGCCTGTAATATTATTAAATTATTCTCTTCGACTTCTTTTTTCTTGATATTGGAATAATGTTATTAACAAGTGGCAACCCAGGCTTGTGTTTGTCATACCTTATTATGACTTTTTTGTGATGTTTATTTTCACTGTTTTCTATGTATATTTCTTGAATTCTGCTTAGATCTTATCCAGGATGAAATGTAATGAATTCGATAACAGTGTATGTATCATCAATGAACTTGTAGAATAGATGAAACGACAGTGCGCATTATTGATATTGTTGCGTTGTTCACAGAAATCTCGCCACATGAACCTGGAGAATTTGGATAAAGCATTGCACGATCTCGGAATGCTAAGTGCAATAACTGAAGCACGGCGCGACTATTTGCGGGAGTCTAAAACAAATTACAGCGTGATGCGTTTCAACACGCGATACGTGTCTAACGTGACCGTGGGATATTGTATGAAACGAGCGACGAACAAAAACAGACTCTGCCCTTACGTATTACCAATTAGACATAGAACTAAGAGTGAAAACTCGGATGCGATCGGTAGTGACGTGAGCGATAGCGGGTGCGAGTACAAAAACAGTTTGTTAGAGCCATCGACGAGCGGGTACAAGCACGAGTGCGTAAAGAGTCCTGCGAAGCGCTGCCAGTCGCTGGAGAACCTGAACCTGGCAGCGGAGGGGCCGCCGCGCGCCGAGCCCTCGCCCGACATGGACTGCGTCTCCACGCGCATTCAGAAGCTGCAAGTTGATGAATGACACCACTCACATGCCACATCCAAATCTAGTGTGATGACCTTCGAATCGTATTTGCTCTAAGTTAGAGTGGCGAAGGTTAGAAAATAGAAGTAGTATTCAAGTGATCTAATGAATGTTGAAAATAATGTATATTTCAGTGTATTTATACTGATGTATGGATATAAAGTGTAGAAGCTGATTCTGAATGTTCCTAGCTCCTCGGTGTACTTGAGTTGATTTTGCATGTATTATCCACCCCAACGATATTTGATAGTGCAGCTACTCGGATTAATGTTTAAGCGAATTGCTCAAAAAAGTTTGGAATCGGTACAAAATATTGAATACATGTATTTTAATTAGACAATTGTTTTGATAAAGTTAATGTGTTTGTTAACTGTGAGAGTTATAATGATTTTTATGGTTACCCTAAACTTAGTGGCCCAGTGTTTGTTGAGAACAAATTCATTTTGTTTTGGTCTAAGTCACATTTATGCACCTTTCTCTTATAAACAAATCTTTTGTACTTGTACACATAGTTATCATAATACCCATTATTAATTAATATTTGGAATGAGTATTTTATTGTGATAGTGCTGGTGTATATTTTCTTAATGAAATTAAAACATAAAAATTTAGTGAAAATAAGACTGTATGAAGATCTCATCCCATCCACAAAAATTGTCACATACACACATATTATTTATTTATCATCCACGCTTCTGTGACTTAGAAATAGATACTTATGTTTGTTAACATATTTTGTTATTTTGTTCTTATTAATTTAATAACAAATATTTGAAATAAATATTGCTTTGATTAATTATTATTATTGTTTTATTGAGACCCACAAAATGTTTTTCATGCATCCAGATCCTGATATATTTGTCAGTCAACATGCAATCTCATGAAATAAGGGCAGGCATTTTAAATGACGAATCAATAAAACTGTTCATTGACACAAGTACATTTTCCAAGTCAAAGAATATTAGCATACTGGCAACATTTAGTCACATACTGTAGATAAACCAATGAGATCCAAAATATCAAAGTATATATCACAAATTTAGTTTTTCCATGCTTAGGCACGAATGGGTCGACTCGACAGGAGTGATACCACGGCGTCACTGAAAACCGGGGTGGAACAACCACAGCTTGGTTTCGCCGTGTGTGTGAGGTCACCGAAGGCACAATTTTGTCGCTCCCCCAATCCCTAATCCCCAAAAGGTCGGCAGCGCACTCGTAACTCCTCTGTTACTGCTTACCATCAGGTAACCTGCCCTATCACATAAAAAAGTTATCCTTTGAGGTAATCGAATGCGATTCAGAAATGTGCAACTAAGACCGAAAATACTTAACTGGAATTTGTGCGCTGTAGCTTATGACTCACATTTTTATTTTCGTGTTGGTAGTTAATAATTGTAGGGAAATTCACGAGGTCGATTATTTAATTGATTTGAAAATAAGCACTAGAAGTGACAGGAAGGTGGATGCGGTAGGTACTTCGTTCCATTTTTATACCTACTTCTTCTTGACCGTCATCAGCCGGCAAACGTCCGTATGCTGAACAATATACCATGCGATTTTTTAATTTAACATGTAACATGTGTTAGATGCAACATCTTCGAAGCATGCAACCCTTGTAGCAATTTCAAACAAGTCTGGCATAAATTGGTGGATTCGGTAATTCTTATTTTGTATTTTCTTTCGTCTATCTTTTAAATTATGAGATACCTTTTTTATTTATATTTCACTAGCTGCTCCATTAGATCGTAGCGTGATGTTTTACAGCCTATAGCACTCAGGAACATTGTAGCTATCTATCAGCGAAAGAATTTTGGCAATCCGACCAGCGGTTCCAAAGATTACCCCCTACATACAAACTTACAAATTTTACCTTAAATATGTAGTGACATAACATGATATGGATTTCAGCCGGGGTTGCGGGGTAATCGCAATGATGCACCGCGACCTCGGTCCAGAGCAGGAGAAGGAACAGGGGGGTTTTTAGTCAGTAAGAATCTGACACTCCCTCCCGCCCGGCCCTGGGCGGGAGAAGTCATTTGATGATGTACACTGAACAAAAAAAATTATATAGATTTATTGTTTTATTTCCACCCTGACTCAGTGATGCAAGCAAACTATCCTACCCCATGCTGATGGTAGTAAAGAATACAGATAGAGGTGGATCCGATCTTTATTATCGATTTCGATAAAATACTATATTTACTAACAGTGATAATTGATAGTATAGTGTATGATGTCATATGGGAGAGGGGTTTCGGCACGAATGAGCCGACTCAACCAGTAGTGACATCATGTTATAAACCTATTGTTAAAATAGGACTGATAGATAAAAATAGGTTTGATTTTTCCAATAATTTTAATGGTTACTAGCTACTCTCGCTCGGTTTCACCTGTTGTTCGGCTCCATTTAATCATAGCGTGATGTTTTATAGCCTATAGCACTCAGGAATATTGAAGCTATCTATCAGACCAGCGGTTCCAAAGATTACCCCCTAAATACAAACTTACAAATTTTACCTCTTTATAATATTAGTATAGATGACTTATTTTCAGAGCCTATTTACATTTCAGGATAACTGGGTAAATGGAATAAAAACGATCTAATTAATTTTAAACAATGGCTATATTGTTTGAAATCAGTGACATATTTACAGTGGTCGAGAAACAGGCGGGTCACATTTTAATTTAGCATTTCAACATTATTTTAACGACATATTATTAAGCGGGTATTCACGCGAAAAATAATAATTTAAATACCTTTGAAGGGACGCTTGACGTTTCGACCTGGTTGCACAGGTCGTGGTCGCAAGCAGACTTAATAATATGTTGTTAACATGAAACGCGAAAGTGTAAAAGTAATGTGAACGAGCTGTAGCATGAAAGACTAGCACAAATATAGGTTTGTAGTTCCACGCCTCCGGTAGCGCGCCCTCGTAGGCGGCTCCCGGTAGCGCGCCCCCGTAGGCGACACCCGGTAGCGCGCCCCCGCAGGCGACACCCGGTAGCGCGCCCCCGTAGGCGACACCCGGTAGTGCGCCCCCGGCAGCTCAGCCGAGGCGCCCCGCGCCCCGCTCTACGGTACGGTGCGCTGGCGAACGACGTTATTGCAACTACAACTTCAATGAAAATACACAAATTATAACGTAAAATTCATTTATTCGCAGCCATTGAGTATGTAACACTTAATAAATAACAAGGACTGTATATATTGCATGTGACTGATTGCTGTGGCGCCTGTGACCGTACTGTCTACTATCAATGATCACAGAGCCTTTACTTTTAATTGTTTCATTTTCGGCGTTTTCCGCTTCTGTTGGCGTTTTTGTTCTTTTAGCTCCCAGCGACGCTGCTTCTCGGGATCGTCCTCCTGTAACGTACAAAAGGATATTGTAATAAATACTATTACTTCATTATTTTAACACTAATAAGTGTCAATTTGCTACAGTTAGGTGTTTTTTGTATTGCTTATTATTATGTAGAAAGCACAATTAATACTTATTACTTATTCTATAAATTCTTGATATTCGTCTACTTAGATAGAGGCAGACAGACAGTAAATGTCTATCCATCCTTCATCATAAAAAGAGTAGGCTTGGTTTATAAACCTCTAATTCCCATTACCAGAGTAATAAAGATTTTATTAATTAAATTTACTGACCCGTTAAATATGTAAATATGAATTAATTTAATAGGAAAAATAAGAAAAAGAAGAGGCACAGAGGCAGTGGAAAGCGTCCACAAATTTACCTACCTCGGGAGCGTCGTGTCAGAGACTGGAGGTACTGAAGAGGACATCACTTCAAGGATCGCAAAAGCCCGAGCTACTTTCGCGCAGCTAAGACCTGTGTGGCAGTCACGGAAACTGACCCGAAGGATTAAGCTGAAAGTCTTCGGGTCCAATGTAAAATCCGTACTGCTCTATGGGTGCGAAACGTGGAAGGTAACCAAAGACATCTCACGTCAACTTCAAGTCTTCGTTAACCGATGCCTGCGTCGCATTCTCGGAATTTACTGGCCCGAGACAATCTCCAACATAGAGCTTTTGGAGAAATGCCACGAAAGCCCAATCGACCGACAGATCAAGCGCCGCAAGTGGGGATGGATAGGGCACACGCTCCGAAGGGGTCCTGGCCACATACCCAAGCAAGCCTTGGATTGGAATCCCCAAGGGAAAAGAAAGCGTGGCCGTCCACGGCAAACCTGGCGTCGCACCGTACTGGCAGAAGCGACGAGCATCGGTATGACGTGGAGTGAGGTGAAGCGTGAAGCTCAAGACAGATCGCGATGGAGAACTTCAGTGGACGCCCTCTGCCCCATCTAGGGGACACAGGATATTAAGAGAAGAAAAAGAAGAAGAAAGCTAAACTAAAAAATACAAACTATTCGTGCTGTGTTTTGCAGCATAGAAAAAATAAAAAGTAGTATTCAATGATATTACAAATCATAAAATATTTGACCTATGATCTCAGAATACAGAACAAACCAGAAGCCGCGTTCACTCATAAAATACATGTCGTCAAACGTGTCCAAAAACAACACGTCAATCCCCCCGCCAGCCGCACTTCCCACCCGCGTAGTGTTGCCGAAAGTGGAACAATTCCCTTGGTTTGGGGTAATTTTACAACAAGAGGGTAAGATATATTTTGTTGGGTAAACCCAACAAAAATAGGTAAACTTACTATAAATGTTAATGTTAATTTTAGTTACACCTACTATACACAATAAATAAAACAAAGTTTAATAAGTGCGAAGGTTTTATTGCGTTTTCTTTTGCTGGTTTAGTTTTTTATAATATGTATTGTCTTTAGACTCGGAACTAAAGATTAGAAGTCTACTTACTTTACTTAGTTCCTGAGATTAGCGAATTCAAGCAAACAAACAAACAAACTCTTCAGCATTATAATTAGTATACCTATAGATATATCTTAGTAGGAAATGCTGTTTTCAAACCACCTTTGTCATAAATACATATATCTCTTCAAAGTAAATTGAGCAAACTATGCTCTGGCTAGATGGTTTCCAAAATGAATCTAGCCGTGCCTTTTGTATGATTTTTAATTTTTTTGTTAGATAATGGACAGAAATATAACCCACAAAAAATAAATAAGTGGGTAAAATTTTCACCAAAAATGACAACACTCACAAAATGGCCGCATAATTTTCATAGAAAAATAAATCGATTAAATAATTCAATAATTAATTAAATATACTATTGCAGTCGATGCTTGCAGATGAAATGTAATCTTATCCACTTTTTTCGTATTTCCAGCCGCATTTTTACTCGTAGTAATAACACAAGACGGCATAATGAAATTAAAATTGATACTCGTAAATACGTCACGACATGCCACGTGCCAAAATTGACTAATCGTAGAAATTTCATACTACTATAGTAAAGAGTGGTTTTAGTTGCTTCTGTTTTAAGCGCGATAACGCCTTCTGGTTTGTTCTGTATTCTGAGCCTATGATATACAATCGCGACTAAACACATGTCACCTACATGTGTCACTGGAAATAAGTGAGTGAGAGTTAATTAATAATAATAAAATGATACATACAGCGAGGATGCGTTCCTTCTCGAGCTTGCGTTTCTCCTCCCGCCTGGCGGCGGCCTGTTCCTGTCGCGCGGCGTGCGCCCCCCGCAGCCAGGCCTCCGCCACCTTCTGACGACGCTTCTCACACTTCGCCAGCGCCTACAATGTACATATTATACCGTTATTCAACAAAATATATATGTATATACTACTATAATTTATTATCTTTCTTACTTAGTATTTTTCCCCCTTTTTATAAAAAACGTTTCCCCACACTAAGATTTTCTCCTGTGTCGTGGGTGCGTTTACAAACATACAATTTCACCAACACATCACACCAGACATTGAGCAATTGGGTTTTTTTCGACGTTCAAAAGTGCCTGTAAGGGTCTTATTCAAATAAACGATGTTGACTTTGAATTTTTGAGGTCATTGATGTCGTATGCAATCGGCGCTGCCCATAGACAAGTGAGGAGTGACACGTACTTTTACGGATTGGAGATTTGAGGGAGGGGAAGGGAGGCAAGGATAATAATTATGGCTCTGCCACAACAACCGAAGCATTGCTTTTCTAATGAGTTTTTTTTTTTTTTTTAAATAACGTAGCCCATTTATGTGGAATACAAGTGGACCCTGCCTGAAAACCTCCACATATCACAGCGAAATCGTTAGGCACCATCTGCCGGGCAGATTTGTGAATCTAAACCATTCAGGGCGCCATTCAAACGCATGCAAAAATATCATTTAAATTGGTCAAGCCGTTTAGGAAGATTTGAATGACATACACACTTACATCAGAATTATATGTATAAAGACTAGCAGACCCAGCCGCGCGTTGATGTGGCTAAGGTAAATAATATTGTGACTATAAATTGAGATGTAAGCTATCCTATCTTTCAAGTTGGATCAAAATGCACACGGAACGCAAATCAAATTTAAAATCGGTTTAGTAGTCCATCGCGGACAAACACGTGACACGAAATTTTTATAAAGATAAAGATGAACGAACCTCCTTGCTAAGCCTGAACCTCTTGATCTTGTCCATGAGATGGAAGACGAGCTGCAGTAGGGGGCGCACCTCCTCGCCGCCGCCGTCGGGTCCTAGCGCGAAGCTGATCAGCATAACCTTCTCAGTCTCTGGGGGCTTCGTTACTGCAGTTTCCCTGTAAAACGAACTTCATTAATATACTGTTTAAATGTTATTTTAGAACGAAAAATTTTTATTAAAGGGATGGTTATCTGTTGAGTGAATACAGCTGTTTAATTTTTTTTTAATTTTGGAACTGGAAATTCAATGGAGAGGTGTCATATATAAGTAAGCTTACATAATCTTTCTAAAGATTGGATTCTGTGATTTTTTATCGAGATGCGCTTTTTGTATTTCTGGATCAAATTCTCATTTATGTTTAAATTTAATTGCGACAGCATTTAATACCAAAGGCAATATCTTATAAAATAAAAAAAATTAGTGTTCAGATTTTTATTTTATTTTTATTATGTTATAAATTGTCCCACAGGAACCCACAGCTGGCTTTAAATGTACTACTTGTTGTTTATATGGTTATATTCAGACGCGTTTTGGGTGTAAGTAATCTAAGGCTGCTTTTTATCAATAACCACACAGGCATAACCTGTTAATGCAAATAAAACCGTGAAACGTGTCGCAGGTTCGATTTCCGCAAGGACTATTATTTTTGTGATCCACAAACTGCTGTTCCTTGTCATATGATACAAAAGAAAACCCTATTGTAAAGTAACGTTAAAAAAAAGAAAAGAAATGTGATTGTTGTGTACAGCTGTAACTGGACTTCAGGTGCACTTAATTTACAATTATGATTAAGGTGATTAATATGTATTATATCGGTTTTAAGTCTGTATCTGTGGCTAATGAATAGAATAAGAAACTATAGTGTATAATAATAGTGATACTGACTCCATCTGCTTGGGCCCGGAGTATCTGTCGGAGATGTGTATGTACTGTAGATGCGCGTGGTAGAGCGTGAGCGCGTTAGTGAGGCGCGCGTCGAGCAGGCCGGCCGCCGCCTCCGCGCACTCGGACAGCACGCACAGCGCGCCCGGCAGACCGTGCTTGTCGCCCGCGCGACGCTCCGGGCAGAACACGCTCTGACACACAATGACAACTTATATACCACGACAATCTTTTTTTATGAACGAACAGACGGATTACCTGATGGTAAGCAATCGGCGCCGCCCATGGACATCCGAAACATCAAAGGAGTTACGAGTGCGTTTCCGGCCTTTAAGGGTAAGGGGTTGCGGATATAAAGATCGGGAAGGGATAAATGAGGAAGTGGCGGAATTGGGCCTGGAACACAAAGCTGTGGTTGTTTCACGCCGGCATTCTGTGAGACTGTGATATCACTTCGGTCGAGCCGACCCATTCGAATTGAATCTTTTATAACAAGCTCTTACCGCTAACCCAAACCTTTTTCACCTCACTCAATCCCTAAATCTAAGAAGCACTTATCCCCAAAAGTTAAGTAAAGCACTCATAACTACTTCGTTATTGCAACCGTGGGCGCCGCTGATTGCTTACCGTCAGGAAATTCGTCTGCTCGTTCGACGTCTAAACCCATAAAATATATAATATTACATAAATCACCGAAACGCTATTTTTTTATCAGGGGAAAATCATCTAATGACTTCTACCGCCCAGGGTAAGGTGAGAGAGAGTGTCAGACTCTTACTGACTAAAAAACCCCCTGTTCCTTCTTCTGCTCTGGGCCGAGGTCGCGGTGCCTCATTGCGCTTACCCCGCAACCCCGGCTGAACATCAGCCCTATAGGGCCCCGTCTGTGGTGGTCTATTGGCTCTTCGAGGCGCGCGCGGAACGTTACGCGCCGTACGCTCGGGATCCTTAGAAGGCTGGCAACGCAATAGTAACCCCTGTAGTATTGCAGATGACTACAGGTGACGACAAATGCTTACCATCAGATAAAAGATCAGATAAAACAGACGGAGCAATCCTTAAGACTTAAAAATAACTAGCCTATTTCAACTCTTATTACAATAGTTATAAGGTACAAAATAACATACCAGGTCCTGCATTTCCTTGGCGAGGCGGGTGGCGATCTTTTTCTGGGCGATGCAGAGCACGAAGGGATCGCTGTCGTCTTTACCTAGTTCCACTCGTACTAGGAGAGTGTCTGGCGTCGGTCTGACTACACCCAGTAGTACGTGCACCAGGTCTTGACGCTGATGAAGAAAAAAATATTATTTTACTAACATCTATACTAATATTATAGAGAGGTAAAATTTGTAAGTTTGCATGTAAGGGATAATCTGTGGAACCGCTGGCCGGATTGTCACAATTCTTTCACTGATAGACAGTTACAAGGTTACTGAGTGCTATAGGCTAAAACATCACGCTACGATTAAATGGAGCTGAGCAGTTGGTCAAACCTGTTTTGGATGTTTGTTACTCAATAAAGCCAAAACGGCTGGACGGATCTGAATGAAATTTGGCACAGGCATAGGATACACTCCGGAATGGGACAGGCTACTTTCTATCAACATAGTAAGCGGGCAAAGCCACAGATGAAGTTAGTCTATACTAATATTATAAGGAGGTATTGTAAGTTTGTATGTAGGGGGTAAACGTTGGAACCGCTGGTCGGATTGCCAAAATTATTTCAACAAGTAGATTGCTACAATATTCCTGAGTCCTATAGGCTATAAAACATCACGCTACGATTAAATGGACCCGAGCAGCGGGTGAAAACGCGCGAGAGTAGCTAGTGTTTAATAGAATAAACATGTAATGAGATAAAAATTATAGTGAAAAAGCACTACAATTGTATTGTACGTTTAATGCTTGTCTTTTGGTCCACAGATAATAGTAATTATTATAAACATAGAAATAGATACTCTATCTGTAGACCATAGACAAGACTTGTTTTAGATTGAGACCTAGTACTTTAAGTTTTTTTTTTCGCTTTCTATATTAATGTCTTTTTTTGGAGTTTAAGTTCATGTGTGTGCTGCGCAAAAATAAATGTTTTTTTCTTTCTTTCTTAGTGTGTTACCTTGATAAGTTTGAGCGTGAGTAGCATCCCCTCGCAGCAGAGCCGTCCACTGCACCACATGGTAAAGCAGTGCTCCGCCTCGCGGCGCCAGCCTCGCTCAGAGCTCGCGCAGACCACGTCCGACCCCGTCTCTCCTACACACATATACATTGTACTTTAAACCTCTTTCATTTATTTATAACTAGCTCTTACCCGCGGCGTGGCTCCCGTCATTTGACTACCTACTCTATCTACCCTACTCTATCCTTCTCCTAGCTCTAAACTACCTCCCTGCCAATTTTCAGCTAAATCGGTTCAGCCGTTCTTGAGTTATAAGTGGAGTAACTAACACGACTTTCTTTTATATTTATATAGATGATAAGGTAGGCTCACAGCTTGTGTACACAAAGTATTTAAACGTATTGTATAGGCAGTAGGTCTTATACATTAGTCAATTACGAACCAACATTCTTAAAATTATGTGTTTGTACAGACAAAATATATAGAAATTATAACTAGAACTCCTCGTCCTCGCGTCGGTTTCCTCAGTGCTGAGGGTCGTGGACCACCTCGCGGAAGCAGTGTACTGCGTATTACTCTCCACCATCTATTTCTATCTGCCGCCGAGTGGAGAGTATCGTAGATTGTAGTGTTGAGAGTGGTGCGAATCTGATCAAACCTCTAATGCCCAAACCTTCCTCTCCCCAATCCCTAAATCTCCAAAACCCTACGCCCCAAAGGGCCGGCAACGCACTCGTAACTCCCATGGGCGCCGCAGATGGCGTACCATTAGGTTATACATATATCAACACGCTAATCAAATAAAAGTAAGCAATAAATATTTGAACCTTAATAATAAAGTGTGAACGCGATTTGAGAAGACTCAATATACGTCCGACGTATCTTAGGGAGTCTGAAGTTAGCCGTTTGTCTGCGCAATGGATCTTTTAGGAACAAAATTGTGTACTGCGCAGCACGCGCACTAAAATGCAATTTTTATAAGTGCTTACCAACTAGAGTGAAGTTATCATCAAGCAGTGGCTTATGTAACTTCAGGAAGTTGGTGGCGATTGACGTGTTCTTCGCGCGGCCTACTGCATAGGCCAGCGCGTACGCAGCTAGGAGGCAGCAGAGAATACCCTCCAGCCAATAGGCATCCCACCGAGGACGGATCATTATAGGAACCTGGAATAGAAAGATATATATTTAAATGTCATTTGTACATTATTTAAATATACATTGTGTTGTAATACCAGATGAATTACGTACGGTCAGGCTTTCAAATGAGGTTTTACTAAAAACTAGCTACCGCCCGCTACCTGCTTCGCCCAGTTGTTATACAACGCAACCTATCTGCATTCGTATTTTAAATATTAGTGGGATTTACAATATTAGTAGGATGTATTCAATATTTCTGTGAGGAAAGCCATAGGTGTAATTTAAAAACGACCATAAGCTGGCTTTCCACCAATGGCGAGGTGTACAGTTCTTCAAGTATTTAGTGATATTGTAGACATAAAGTCTATGTCATAACAACTTACCTTAGAAATAGTGATCTTTGGCTGTTCAGAGCTACGAGGAGTATTGTCTTGGAACCCTTCGAACTCCTCAGGGTCTTGGAAATGCTCAAACTCATTGTCTTCATCCTGAGGAATAGACCATATGAGAATTAATGATATGATTTAAGTGAAGTGTAAATTTTTTGAGTGGGGTGTATCAGCGAGAGGGAGTGTCAGACTCTCACTGATTAAAATCCCACCCCGTTCCTTAGGCCCTATAGGGCCCTATAGGGCCACCCCGTTCCTTAGGCCCTATAGGGCTGATTTTCAGCCGGGGTTGCGGGGTAAGCGCAATGAGGCACCGCGACCTCGGCCCAGAGCAGGAGAAGGAACAGGACCATGGGCATGAGAGGCCATTTGATAATTATTTTCCCCTCACAACAAAAAAAACCTGTTCCTTTTCCTATTCCTGGCTGAGGCCGTGGAACATGAGTCCTACCTGCTAGGAGCCCATCTGTTCTAACCAAAAACTATACCTTAACTTCTAAGAGTTTAGGTCTACAAGTGCATAGTGGGTTTGGTTAAAGCAAAAACAATTACAAGATTATTTATTGACTCCAATGAGAAATTGGAAAATATGCTATACATAAACAATAAATACCTCAACTAATATCTCGTCTTCAGTCTCCACATTGGCCTCAAACTGTTCCTGAGATGGACCCTTAATCGGCTTCGAAGCAGGAAGCTCCTTGTCCTCAGCAAAATCTGAAAAATGTTAAAGTAATGTTTATTAACTATTACAAAGTTACTGTAATTAGGTATATCTGCATGTTATATTAAGTATAATAAATTAATCGTTACGATTCTTTTAATCATTTTTAATTGAAATACAAACTATTGTCTATTGGTTTAGATAGTAAACTAAAGATAAACAATTTTGGTGTGTCTTTTTATATTAAAATATAAAAAACATACATAGATTATTTAAAATTATTAGCTAACATTGATTTAAGTACATACTTAACTGTAAACATTTTTACAACTTTAGCTAATATGTAGTATAGTATTTTCACTCATACCAGCAATCAGTTCATCATCTTCAGCCTCAAACTGCTCGAATTCTGCAAAGTCATCGTCTTCGAGAGCCTGGTCCTCAAACGCATGGGCCACAAAGGTACTGCACAGCAGCACAAATATTGATAATAGCACCCACCGCATTTTGTTTCTGGAATACAAAAACAATAAAATTTTATGCAGATGTCAATGTACTTATATGAATGGTTTGAAAGTGATATTTGTTTTTTTTAAATTAGCTTAGGCTAAAAGCCAAGAGGCTGAATTTACGAATTTAACATATTTGTTAACTTTGACCATAATATCGGAAGACCATAGGGTCAATAGTTAGGTAAATCTTTCAAATGTTCAGTGAAACATATGCATAAAATCTTTCAGAATAGTTTCATATCAACAATATAGTCTAACTATAAGAGCAAAAATTGTGGAAAATGTGTGTCAGGGACATTTCTTTAAAGGAATGACTGGTGTGATTTTACACTGAAACTTACTTAAACTAAGTTTAGGGGAATAATTATTTTACTATTTTCCTGGTTTGTTTATAACTTATTGTGTTCTAGTTAATATCTCAATAAAACTCTTAATACAAGACACTAAGGATTTGAGTTTAAGGATCTTTTATATGTATTTAAAACGGTTTTCATCTAGTACTTTATAAATATAATAGTCACATAGTTATGGTATTGTTAAAGTATCAACATAAATGGTAATTTTGATAAGAAAAGTGGAAGTCTTCTTTATGACACTACTCACATATTTGTTAAAAGAAAGTAACTGAATATAATGAAAAATAACAGCTGTGTTATCAAAATTGCTGTGTATAGGTCTTACTGTGAATTTAAATTAGATTTTCTTGTGCAAATACACTAAATGTAACTAATTCTTGGTCAAACATGTAGAAGGTAGTCTTATCTACTTTACAAGGTTGTTTGCCAATTTGTAGGGTTTCAGGTCTAGTTCATGGGTGTTACTTATGTTACTACTATTGTCCCTAATAACCTACACATGCAAAGTCACCTACAAAAGGGTATCAAACATTAGTCAATTAAAAATTAAAATGGGATGAATAAATTAAAAAAGTAATGTTTAAAGTAAACTTACACCACTTATTTGAAAATTTAACTTCATTAATAGACTATCTGCGGCGCAAATTATGTTCAAAATACGTCTCAAGGTAATCTAAATTTATATTTTTTATTTTTGCTGCATCGAATAGCACGGCTGACTGTGCAATTTTTAACACCTTATACCTATAATATTTTAGCAAAATATACACATTTTAGGTTACCTGTTATCTATTTCTCGACGATGCTATCAACTAAACTAGTTCATTAACTTATATAATTAGATTATTTTACACAAATTCAATCACATTTCACCTACTTTATTGCGGGATTGACACAGTATGATTTCGCTGTATCAATTTTACTCAACAATATTTCTTACTGGAGTAGATTGGTATGTTTTACAGATAGCCAATAACAAACGCTTATTACCACATTTAGATAAGAGAATTTACAAAACGCGTAGAGAAAACGTACTACTTTTTAATGTCACCGTTGTCACGTCACATGACATTTCACTTAAAATGTTGCTAGGAAATAAAAGTTATATATTTTTTTAAATTTCATTTTGACATTCACAGCCAACTTTAACTTATTTTAGATGAACAGGAATTTGGTTTTTTACGTGAAGTATTTTGTTATGAATATTATCTATTATGACACATTAAGAAAAATCTTGAAAAGCAAAAAGCCTGGAGGCTATTTCTGGTCAAAAGAATAATTCCGCTTCCGATTCCGGCTGAGTTTACTGTAAGATATTTGTAGAAAATGTGACTGGATTACTTTCCTGTAGGGTTTGCGCGATTTGTGTTTATGGCCAATATTATAGAGTAGATATAATATAAAATTACCTGCAACTTTTTTTTCAAAAGTTCTTATGTTTCATAAGTTTTTTGAAACAGGAACCTACCGAAGCTGCCGTGTTCGGTAAGCACCTGCGACAGGCGGAAGGCCGGGACCCGTGGCATTTCTCATGCCACTACCCAAAGAGGGGTCTTACCGCCGCTATAACAGTGTGCCCGGCGCTCCCGGTTGCTGATTATGCGAATGATTTCGGTTTATCTCGTTTGATTTCGGTTCGTCTTGTATGATTTCAGTTTGGCTTGCATGATTTCGGTTCCTCTCGAATATGATTTTGGTTCAGCTCGCAAACGAGCCGAATATTCGACGTATAAAAAACTTTTGGAACAAGATAATATAAGCCTCTATAATATTGATCATAAGTAAACACAAATCGCGCAAAACAGGGAACGAGATTATTGCAGAAAATGTAAGAACAAGGATTTTTCTTACATTTGACCTTAATATTTGACAGATGCGGACCCTGCCTACATGTATTTTATGTAATTTTTAAGGCAAGCTTTAGGATGTCCAAATAAACTTAATAAAAAATATACAGCTTGGTATACCAAATTCCGAGGTGAAACTACTAATAAGATAATTATAAGATGTATGGAGTATTAGCGCGTTATGAAAGATGATCTCCGGCCACCGTAAGCGTGGGTCTGCGGACGGCGAGTAAGGTTAGCGTGCCGCCCGACCAGAAGCAGACCGAAGAGAGTTCCACCTCCAGGCCCGAGCGTACCGCGCGTAGCGTTTCACGCGCGCCTCAAAGAGCCAATAGACCACCACAGACGGGGCCCTATAGGGCTGATGTTCAGCCGGGATTGCGGGGTAAGCGCAATGAGGCACCGCGACTTAGGCCCAGAGCAGGAGAAGGGACGGGGGGTTCTTAGTCAGTAAGAGTCTGACACTCCCTCCCGGCCCTGGGCGGGAAAAGTCATTTGATGATTTTCCCCACACAAAAAAATGAGCGCATCATTCTGCGTGCCGGAAAACCATGTAGGGTAGTCAAGCTGTCATACAGTCAAATAAGGAAAGGATATTATAATGCAGTCCTTTGAACATCCAATACGTAACTAAGTTGTTCATGAGAAAATTTAATTCTTATATATAAATAAATAATAAGAACGGATTGCTCTGTAAAAATACACTAACACATTTCTGACTAAAATACCTACATGCAGTAGATAGACACATGATATTTATTCTAATTCTGAGTCACGTTTTAATAAAATTGTATAGTTCTGTGTTATAATTTGGTAACAATACATCAAGGTCATAAGGTGCATCCAAATGATCATAATCGGATTCACAACAACATTCAATTCAATTTAGATTAAGTAGGTTTTTTTTTAAATTAATTTCCGCTTCCTGTTATCAGCGGCTATTTATTAATTTGATTTTGATTGTAATATCGCCATCTTGTGAAATATGTAGGTAATAAACAATTGCGGCCACAGCATCCTAAGTTAATGTTTAGCCGGGGTTGCAGGGCAAGTGTTTTCCGCTCAATGAGCGTTACATATCTATATCTATACTAATATTATAAAGAGGTAACATTTGTAAGTTTGTATGTTTGTAAGTTTGTATGTAGGGGGTAATCTTTGGAACCACTTTAATGGTCCGATCCCCAAAATTGTTTCACTGATAGATAGCTACAATGTGTCCTGAGTGCTATAGGCTATAATACATCACACTACGATTAAATGGAGCTTGAAGCGGGTGAAACCGCGCGAGAGTAGCTAGTATCAATGTAAGTTTAAACACATCACACTCGACCAGTCAAAAACACAAAAATTTTGCGCGCTAAAACAGAAGTGCGCAGTCAAGGCACAGTGAACATATGTATCTATATAATTATGTAATTTGTACTGTGGTCAAGGCTAATAGGTACTTAATTGACCTTTATAATAGCATCAAAGTAAAGTGTAACAAACCTAAAAATAATGTTATTTTATAAGCATTAGTCAGCATAAGCTATGTCGTCATTGTGCCAACATTGCGAGGCCAACAGTTGTTTAAATCCGCATCGAAAAGCCTCGCTGAATGCTGATACGATCTTGATCAATGAACTTTATTTATTGTTTTATATTTAAGTAGCTACGTAACAAGACGTCGAAAATAAAGTTCCCCTCTCTATGACGTTGACTGACCGTGGCATGTCTATGTAATTTGTAAGCTATTTTTATATTTAACAAGAAAATAAAACTAATTAGAAAACAAGAAAGAAGAGATCTTTTTGTTTTGTCATGATTTTGGTCTTAACGCAAGTGTGAGGTTTTTTTTATTAAGCTGGTACTTACCTCTAAGTACTGAACTCGCTTTTTTTAGGCGGAATAATTTATCATATATGACTTCTTTCGCCCAGGATGAGGCGAGAAGTGTCAGACTCTTACTGACTAAAAACCTCCCGTTTCGCCAGGCCAGGGCCGCGTTACCTTGTTGCGCTTCACCCGAGGACCCTATTTTATTTATTTCAGGCATCGAGGGCCCATATAAACATATACAATACTGTACAAAAAGTACCTATATTTAACTATAAAACTATTGCACATGAAGTGACGGCGTCATGTTTCGCTGACTTGTTTCATGTAGGCGGCCACGAAACCGGCGATACACGACACCCTTCGGCCAGACTTCCTTCTCCTTCCTTCCCCTTCTCGACTTTTCGAGATGGTGTGGAACCCGCAACACGAAAATTATTGGGCCCCCTCTGTGGTTATAATGAACTCGCTTATATTATTAATATTATGCTCCTCTGCCTACCCTTCTAGGAAAAACCAGTAAGTTTGTTGTTGTCTGTTTGTTGTGAGAAGAATTTTAGACGCAAACAAGGAAAATTACATTAATACAAAAGATACAATTTAAAAGCAAATTACAGCTTTGTTTAATGACAATATTGACATGTGCTTATTAAGCAAACATTACAATTATACGTTGTACCTACAGTTTTTAATTAAGCACCGTAAAGTAGTGAGAAAATCATTTGCATATAATAAAAACTTTGTAACAATACCTTAACAGAATTAAAATCAACGTCAAAGCAACAAACGGAAAATCTAAGATACCAGGAACCTGCATGGTTTGCCTTCCTTTGCAAACATTAAAAATAAGACTTTTAAACGTACTTCGCCTGCCTGGTATTTTGATAAAAAGTACTTAGCCTATAATATGTCCTATTCCGGAGTGTATCCTATGCATGTGCCAAGTTTCATCCAGTTCCGTCCAGCCGTTTTGGCGAGAGTAACAAACATCCAAACTTAAAAATACTTACTTCTTTTTATATAGTTTCGAAATTCAAAATTCCGATATCGTTTTAAAAATGATTGATTGTAGGTACCTAAAGTTAGGTTAGTTTGCAATAAGATGTTCATTTATTTTGGTACTATAATTTTTATAGACTTTTTTTAGTCTAGCGCTAACAGATTAGCTCTAATCGTGACTAATTTATCCGCCTCAAATCTAAATCGTGATGTGATATCGTGCATCTAACGGAAAATTCAATCCATAAATATCGGTAAATATTGCCAGGTTAACAGGCGGGATATCAAATTCGAATTTAGAAATAAATTCTAGTTTGGATTATTGTCTTTATGTTTCCTATCCATCCTATTCCTAAATGAACATGTTTTTTTATCTATACTAATATTATAAAGAGGTAAAATTTGTACCTAAGTTTGGAAGTTTGTATGTAGGGGGTAATCTTTGGAACCGCTGGTCGGATTACCAAAATTTTTCTTTCACTGATAGATAGTTACAATGTTCCTGACTGTTATAGGCTATAAAACATCACGCTACGATCAAATGGAGCCGAGCAGCGGGTGAAACCGCGCGAGAGTTGCTAATAAGATATAAGTATAAAATGATATCAGGTTTTTTTATTTATTTTTATGTCATATGACGACGACGACGGATTACCTGATGAAAACCCGCAATACCAGAGGAGTTACGAGTGCCTTGAGAGAAGTTGAGAATTTGGGATTGGGAATGCAAGGGATAGGGGGAGGCGAAGGATTGGGCCTAGAATTTTACTTATAATATTGAGATGTAACGATAGGTAGGTATGTAGGTAACGACTGAGTACAACGTGTAAAAAGTAGGTAAAACCGTTTCTCTATGAAAATGCGCAGAAAATAATAATAGTACATAATTTAAGCAATTAAGAATAACAAAAGACAAATAACGCCTTTGATTATTGTTTCAAAGTCAAGAAGAAAACTCCCTTTAAAACAGGTTAAACCTTTTGCTACCCGTGAATTATTTCAGCTTCATTATAAACTAGTATACACAGTCTCATCAAGATCTCTTGTCTAAATGACTAGGAAAAGTTGTAAAACCAGCAGAAAAGCGCTTTAAAATTTCCCACGAGAACTAGGGAAAATTGTTAAAGCTGCTTTATTTAGACGGCCATAATGTCAGGCAGGGTGTGCTTTCCACTTTCGCGCCATCTTGCTATGATACCGGACATAGACAATAATATTCTTGTTTTAATGTTAACACTTAGCCTTTAGTGTATTCCCGTGTGAGTAGAAATCGTTTTTTCATTACCCACTTACCTACCTACCTACCCACCTATCTAATAATTAAGAAAAGAAAGAAATTCGTTTGAAGTAATATAATTTCGTATACTTACTATTGTTTATGTCTCAT